ATGTGTGTGTGTGTGTGTGTGTGTGTGTGTGTGTGTGTGTGTGTGTGTGTGTATGTATATCTGTCTTGTGTGTTTGTCTGCCTGTTTGTCTCTCTTGTATGTGTGTATGTCTGTGTCTCTGTGTTTCTTTCTCTGTCTCTGTGTTGTGTGTGTGTGTGTGTGGCTAGGGATGGATCCCAGGGCCTTGCTTATACCACCCCATGTTCCACCACTGACTTACCCTTCTAGTCTCACTGGTTGTTTTCAAAACAAGAATTACATAAAGAAACTTTTAATAAATTACTTTAATGGCCTACAGTTTGGTATACGCCCTAGACAGTCTGTCTACCCCTCACGTCTTGGGATCTGAGTGTGTGCTTGTTGGAGGGAAAAATGTCAATATCAAGTTAGGAAATCACTTGGAGAATGACCAAGTTGGTCACCAGACTGAAAGATCATGGGATGCTGAACATCTCCCTGCACCCTGCCCTCCTCTTGTGGCCTCCAGCAGGGAGTATGACTAGTGTAGAGGCTTGACGTAGGCAACCTTCAGCCCTCCCAGCACTCAGCAGTCAGGTGTGCCCTTCAGCCTGGAGCCTTTGGGCCTGTGTAGGGGGTGTTGGCTGGGTGACAGGCAGCCTGTCAGCTGAGGCAGGAATCTTTTCCAGGCATTGTTCTGAGTCAGCAGAGGAGAACCCTCACCCCAACCTGGCTGCCACCTGAGTTGACACTTTGCAACTCTGCACATTGTTCTGGCTCCATTTCTGAGACCACTCGACACCAGCCAGAGAGAGGCCAGGGGCGCTTAGGTGTGGGTGCCATGGCACTATGACTGGTGCCTGCCTTATTTGGCAGCTACCTGTTGAAGGCAGCCGGGTGGGCCTCCCTGCTCATCTGGTCCCAGGTCACAGAGTGTCTTCATGAAGTTCTTTGTGAAGTTCTCCCAGGTTCTAGCTACTCCTCTGAATGGAGCACTGTCCCATTGAAGGGCTAGCTCAGCCACTGTGACTGGCAGGACCTTCCCACTGCCTCCCAAGTGCAGCTGTGTGTACATGAGATGCTGGGCTCGACTGCAGCAGAACAGCAGGTGGCACTTTAGAGAGACATCGTCACAGGGTAGGTGTCCAAATAGAAGTGAAGGTGCCCACCTAGAGCCATATGCTTTGGGACACAGCCCCCACGCCTGCTCCTGGGGCCCTTGATTGGGCATTGCCAATGCTAGAGACGGGGGTGCAGCCCCTGGGCCTTTCTCAATGGCCCTTTGCCAGGTGACAATCTTATGGCAAGCAGCCCATCTTCTTCCCAAGTCCAGGCCTCAGGAGCACCTGGGGCCTCAGGACCAATGAGGATGACAAGATGAAACCCCAGGCTAGACTTCTGCAGGCTGAGAGCTGACGTAGGGGTCATAGAGGCATGGAGAGAGAAGCACTGGTGAGAGTGATCTCTCCATGAAAGCTAGGATGGGGGCAGGTCACTCCAGACTTCTGCAGTTTGTCATCAGCATCATCAAGGGTATGGACAGAGGTCACCTGACCCTCTTCTCTCCCTAGTGCCAGGTTCCTTTTACTCTCCCCACCCCCTTCTCACTAAAGTATCTGAAGAACAGTGTTTTATGGTGCATCATTGCAGAGGCTATCAGTTTGGACTGGCTCAGTGGGAAGGATGAGGAGACAGGGGAGGATGGGATCCGCCAGGTTCCCCAGCACTGGCATGTGCACCTCCAGCCCTCAGTGAGGCTGTCATTCTGAGCAGAGGGGATGAGCCTTGAGGGAAACCAAATGCTGCCATATTTCAGCTGTAAGACTGCACATACACATATTACACAATGTTGACTAGAGCCTGAACTTTGCTTTTTGTTTTGAACATGATCTGACCTCAAACTCTAGATCCTTGTTTCTCAGCTCTTGAGTGCTGGGATTACTGGTATGTGCCATTAAGTCTAACCAGCATAATTTAAAATTATGTGGTTATGAGGCTGGAGAGATGACTCAGCAGTTGAGAACACTTGCTGCTCTTGCAGAGGACCTGGGTTTGATTCCCAGCACTTACATGGTGGCTAATAATCTTCTGTGACTCCAGTTCTAAAGGGATCTGATGCTCTCTTCTAGTGTCCATGTGCACTGCACATGTGTGGTATACTTATATACATGCAGGCAAAATGCTCATACATATAGGATAAAAATGAATATATGTCTTTTAAATGTGGTGCTTGGGGCTAGAGAGATGATGGCTCAGTAGTTAAGAGCATTGGCTGCTCTTGCAGAAGACCTGGGTTTGAGTCCCAGCACCCACATGGTGGCTAGGAACTGTTCATAACTCCAGTTCCAGGGGAATCTGACTCCCTTTTCTGATCTCTGTGGGCATTGCATGACTCAGGTGCACTTACACACACACATGCAAGCAATACACTCATACACATAAAAAAATAATTAAAAAAATAATTTGGGCTGCGGAGATGGCTCAGAGGGTATGAGCTATGAAGCACGAGGATCTGAGTTTGATCCCCAGCTGCCATGTAAAAGGCAAGCACAACCTTCTGTAACCCTGGAACCGGGGAAGGAGGATGGAGGAAGGCGAATGAATCCCTGAGGCTTGCTGGCCAGCCAGGGTATAACAGTAAGTTCCAGGTTCAGTGAGAGACTCTTGTCTCAACTATGGTGGAAGCTGGGCATGGTAGCACAGACCTTTAATCCCAGTATTTGGGAGGCAGAGGCAGAGGCAGGTGGATCTCTATGAGATTGAGGCCAGACTGGTTTCCATAACTCGTTCCAGGTCAGCTGGGGCTACAGGGAGACCCTGTTTCAAAACAAAAACAACAAAAATGGTGGAGAATGAAAGAGGACACCTGAGGTTGACACCTGGCTTCCACATGTGCATACACAAGTGAACACATGCAACTACACACACACACACCCTCCCCATGCAAACGTTATTTATTATAACAATTTCTTGATATAATTAAAGTAATTCTTTAATTTTTCAAATTAAAAAAATTGACAATAGCAGAGTAAGCAGTAGCACTCCATACTGCATCAAAGCAGGGAAATAAAATAAAAATGGAATTAGTCCTCATCCTGGGACCCAAGAGATCTGAGCAAGCCGGCGTGACCTGTTTTGTGCCCAGTTTCTTTCTCAGCACCTCACTCTGTACTTGATAGATGAGGCGTGGTCCTGTTCCGACTCCAGCCTCTCTGCCATCTCTTTCACCTTCGTGGTCTCTCGACGAGAGCTTCTGAGGTCTTTCTGAATGTGTTTGAGCAGAGACTGCCATCTCCCAGTCTTCTGTGACCTTCGTGTATGCCGTCCTGTGTCCAGTCACTCTGGGTAGAGAGCCCTGTGTGGAGACATCAGGCTCAGTGTCTCTGGTGGCATGCTCCTGTTTTGATCCTTTGAGCCTTAAGCCTTTGAGCTGAAGCAGAGCTGTTCTTCAAGTAGACACTTGCTTTGTCCTTCATCACCGCCGGTGTCTTCTAGAGCACAGAGGGCCTTCAGTGTGAGTCCTGCTAACGGTTTGATACGAAATGTTGTGGAGCCTGTAACTGTCTAGGGAGTGGTCAAGATACAACTGTTTCAGACCTACAGGCTTTTTTTTGTTTGTTTTTTAATTTTATGTGTATGAGTGTTTTGCCTGTATCTATGTAAATGTACCATGTGCATACCGTGTCCATGGAAGCCTGAAGAGGGCACCAGATTCCTTGGAACTGTAGTTACTGATAGCTGTTAACCATTGTGTGGGTGCTGGGACCTGAACCTAGGTCCTCTGCAGGAACAGCCAGTGCTTTTAACTGCTGAGCCATCTTTTGAGCTCCAACTTCTGTTTGTTTTTGTTCTTGTTTTTTTTAACGAGCTGAAAAAGATGCATAGTACTTACCAGACAAAATAGTGGTGTATTTTTCCTTAGTTTGTTTTTTAGTGGCACTGGAAATGGAGCTAGGGCCTTATATTCTAGGCAAGTACTCTACTACTCAGCTGCACGTCAGCCTATTTTTGTCTTTAACAAATATTTCATATGCATGATTATAGGCTCCAGGATTGCAGGCACAAGGGCAGGCAGTCAGCCCCTTCACTACCCTATGTCATTGTCATGCTTCATTATAAGAGCTCTTTAAAAATATTTTATTTATTATTTTTATTTTATGTGTATGACTGTATTGCCTGCATGTATGTGAGTGCACCCGTGTTGTGCCGTGCCCCGGAGGTCAGAAGAGGGCATCGGATTCCCCTGGAACTGGAGTTAAGGATTGTTTGTAGCTGCCATGTAGGTGCTGGGGATCGAACCCAGGTCCTCTGCAAGAGCAGTCAGTGCTCTTAACCACCGAGCCATCTCTTCAGCCCCTATAAGAGCACTTTAGAGAGTTGCAATCAGTTCCGTATAAGATACTAAGTGGGGTAAATGGTGGGGCAGGGCTTGGACAAAGCACCCTTGGGAGACAGTCCCCTCTCTCCCTGAGGGCTGAGACTGTTTCTAGGAAGGGCTAGGGTTCAGGTCCAGGCTTGTATGGGACTGTGAGAGTCTGCATGGGACTTTCACCTAGTGTCGCTTGTGGTCTGACCCAGGCTGAGGTGTGGGGTCACTGGGGGCCCAGTGCACAAAGGAGTGTGGTAGTAGTGTTTCAGTGTCCCCCCTGAGCCTCAACCCCACCTATGTAGTATTAGGGTTTCCAGTTCCAAAGCTCAGTAACCCCTTCAGCAACCCCTTGTCCTTAGATCAAAGACACAGTGACCATGGATGCCGGGAGAGCCAACAAGGAGGTGGAAATCCTTCGAAAGCAATGCAAGGCACTGTGCCAGGAACTGAAGGAAGCCCTCCAGGAGGCGGATGTGGCCAAGTGCCGACGAGACTGGGCCTTTCAGGAGCGGGACAAGATTGTGGCAGAGCGTGACAGCATCCGGTAAGGGGGCTCTTGGGTGGGTGTGGTCCTGTATTTCTCATGTTCACTGAGGTCTTTGGACAGGGACACAGTCATTGGCCACATGCCTAAGTAAGAAGTCAGGGACCATGACTTCTCCCTTCTCTTCCCTTGCTGCTATTGCCTGGCCTCTTGGCTTCGAAATTTTCCATTGTATTTCCTTCCTGTCTCACCAAACCTTGGATGCCCTGGGTGTGGCCATGTCCAGATCAAGGCCAGCCTTTTTTCTTCCAGGGCTTCTGATAGAAACAGTTTGTCTGAAATGTGGTTTTTTTCCTCTGTACGTGCTACACATCTACTGTGCTAACATCTTTGGTCCCGGAGCAGCAAGAGCTTGCAAGAGGCTTCCATATGTCTCTGACCCCTATGAGGGGTCCTGGGACAGAGGGGAGGACGGTACATGAAGGTTCTGTCGAGGGCCTCAGCCAGGCTGTAAGGAGGTCTCCCAAGCCTGCGTGCCATTTAAGCTAGACCTTGAAGCTTGAGTGCAGTTTCTTCAACAGGAGAAGGGCAGACATTGCAGATGGAAGTATGTGCTCAGGGCAGAGTGTGGGTGTGTCTGGTTCTAGGTCATGGGGAGTTACAGGGAAGAGGACGACAGTGTCTTTGAGTGTAGGTTTTGAGGACCTTTAATGGAAGCCAAGAGATGTGAATGTCACCTTGGCCTGAGGCAGAATCAGGGATAGCTGTGGTGGTGGTATAGGAAGTTGGTCATTGAGGGATTCTGGAAGATCCTCGAATCTGCAGGGGAGACCTGTGCCCAGCAAGGAGCATCAGGAGGTGGAGATGGATGTCAAATGCCCAGTGTTGGGGGCAGGAGGAACATTGAGGCCCTCTGAATGCTTCCTGTCTGCCCCTGCTCCCACTTGCTCTCAGTGTTCCTCCAGGGTGAGATCCTGAGCTCAGATCTGATTGGGGCACTGGAGATTTGGAGCTGTGGCAGCACGAAGACTAGCCCATTGATTTGGGAAATGGCAGAGCACAGACCTCCTATCCTCCTGGCACGTGTACTGTCTAGGTGGACTCCTTTTGTAGCGTCTCACCAGACTTTGCTCCCACACAGAGCCGCAGAGACAGAAAACTGAGTTCTGTCCCAATGCCTCCCAGCTTAGTTGTGGCATGGGTAGGAGGCTGTAGAAAGCCCAGTGTATAGGCATTTAAAAGACTGTGATGGGTGCTGGAGCAAGGAGGCTCACCAGGTGGGCTGGGCCTTCACTGTGAAGGAGAGCTCTCCACTGCCCCGAAAGCCCATGCTAGAACACCATGTGTGAGGAGGGTGGGTCTTACCCACCAGGCACATGCAGGAGGCATCTAAGGCAATGTGAACGTTGAGATCTGACAAGTGTCTTTCTCCTCTTTGGTCACACAGTGGCCTGGTCTAGGTTGTATCAAGCACTCCTATTGTACATTTGTTGATGACACTGGTGTTTAGGAGTTGGGGCTGCCAGGTGGTACACTGCAGACCATGAGTCCCTCCCTCCATCCCCCTGTTGCTCATGGTAACCTTGACCTCTGCCTTCTCTACTAGGACTCTGTGTGACAACCTGAGGCGTGAGCGGGATCGGGCTGTGAGCGAGCTGGCTGAAGCCCTGCGTAGCCTGGACGACACTCGGAAACAGAAGAATGATGTCAGCCGGGAGCTTAAGGAGCTCAAGTAGGCTTGAGTAGTGTCTGCCTGGGGTGGACTTGTGCCTAGTATCCCCTCTCTCTTTTGGGTGAGGTAGCCTTGAGTATAGTGAGCAGAGGCTTGCCACTGTGTCCCTTCACTGCCTCACTCTGCTAGTCTATAGAACAGGTCTGAATGTTGACATCAATAATAAATTCTTCTATGGCACAGAAGGTGGCATCAGCTCTTTGACAGCACATAGAGACAGGACAGGTTCCATATGCCAACATACGTGGGAAGGAAGGTCCATTTGGGGACAGATCTGCCTGCATCATTTATAGTTCATTCTTCTGACTCATTCATTCCTTCATTCACTCAACAAAGATTTATTGAGTACCTGCTCTGGCCCTTGAGAGGCCAAGCAGACCAAGCTGCTGCACTAGTGGGATTTAGGGTGCACAGGAGGTGAAGGGAGGACCCACCAAAGAGAAAAGCACTTAAACAAATAGAGCAACAGCAGGCTGAGGCTGAGGGTTTTCCAGAGAATTCTGACCCTGGCTTGGTAATGTGTTCTATGGATGATCTTTGGGGTGTTAGTCCCCCTTCAGTCACAGTAGCATCCCAGAGGGTCATTTGGACACTTGCTGGACCTTAGCTGTGGATTGAAAAACACAAAGTTCGGAGTTTAAAAAGCGAAATTGGTATAGCCCAATAACGGTCCCTGGGAAGCAGTAGTTCTGCTCATCATGTGACATCTCCAGAGCTGATACTGTGCAGAGGACAGTGGGAGGTGTGTGTGGCGGGGGCGGGGTGCAAGTACAGGTATCCAAGCCATGCGTGCTGAGTAAATCATTTCAGAAGGGAGTGACAGCTTCCCTTCTGTCTCATCCAGTATGATCTGTCAAGACCAACAGCTTCATTTATTAAATAACCTACGCCAGAGGGAGCTAGGGTGCTCTAAGGAATGGTTTAGGGTTTCAGAGGCGAAGTGACAGACCTTTGCCCAAGGGCAAGTGATGGAATCAAGGATGGAATCCCATCCAGCTGAGAATGTAGTTCATGGGTAGAGCACTTGCCTAGTATGTGTAAGGTCTTCATGTGATCTTCATTTGATCTTTCTCTAGCACTGGGGAAAGGGGGGAGGAGAGAGAGAGAGAGAGAGGAGAGAGAGAGAGAGAGGAGAGAGGAGAGAGAGATTGAGATTCCCTTTAAGGGGAATCTTGGAAGCTCTGGGGTATGGCATGAGAGGAAGCTTTGCATCATGTTTGAACTAGAGTTGTCTACAAAGCCTAAGAAGCACCTGTCAGGTTCTGTTTGTTCCTTCAGCATGCTTGTATGTATTTGCACTGCCTCTCTGCTAAGTTCGCTCACTGGTGGTGAGCATGCTGGTGATGATGTCCCTGCTGCTGCCTGGGGAGCCTTCAGTCTGGAGACGCTTAGGCATCCCCTGTGGTGACAAGCGAGGTGTCTCTGAGCTTCAGTACAGAGCATTGGGCCACATTGGTCTGGTGGGGCTGGGATGAAGCCCTGGGACGGGGGATCAGAGGCTTTGTAGTGTCCTGTAGCTAGCCAACGAGAGAGCAACCTGGTGCAGATCTAGAAGCCTGTTCATGAGACCAGGAGGCAAAAGCAGATTATCCATGTCAGTGGGCAGTGTGGAGGAACCGCAAAGACAGCTTGTGTCCAGATTTGAAAAGCAGGATGTCGCTACAGGAAGTCCCCGAGCAGTGATGAGGCTTCTCAGTGTCTTTTCCTTGCTTCTTTATTTTCCCTCTGGCTCAAGTTTTTAATTTTGATGAATTCCAATTTATTGATTAAAAAAATTATTAATGTGTTGTATCTAAAAACCTTTCCTGTAACCTTAGAGCATCAAAGCTATCCCCCCACCCACCCACCACCTGTGCAGGGGGTTGAGCATGGCCTTGAACCAAGCACTGTACCACTGAGGTACATTTCTAACTCTCGGTTTTTTGAGTCAGGGTCTTGCTGTGTAGCTAGGCTGCCCTTGAACTCACTAAGTTGCTCAGGCTAGTCTTGAATTCACTGTCCTCCTGTCTAGCCCCCCTCAGTGCTGGGGTTATAGGCATGTGCCACTATCCATGGCTTCTTTCTAAAAATTTTGTGGTTTTATGTTTTGCATTTAAATCTAGGATATGCCTTTGTTTCTTTGTTTTTGAGACAGAATCTCCCTGTAGCTCCAGCTGGAATTCACTATGTAAACCAGGTTGGCCTCAATTTCATAGAGATTCACCTTCCTTTGCCTCCTAAGTACTGGGATCAAATGTGTGTGTCTCCAAGCCTATTGAATCCTGAATTGCTTTAAGCATCTAGGTAAATTTGGAGAGAATTTCTGTATCTTGAAAAAGATACCATGGAAACTCACTGATAATCCAAGAACCCTTTGCCCTGGCTTACCAGGAAGCTGAGTACCAGTGGAAAGGAGCCCCACCTAGTTTTGAGGAAAAACCACCTTAATTTGGAGCTGTGATTTGGTGAAATAGTTTACCTTTGAAAGGACTATTGCTCTAGCTCTGTCTGTTCACAGGGAGCAGATGGAATGCCAGCTGGAAAAGGAGGCCCGATTCCGGCAGCTGATGGCCCACAGCTCCCATGACTCGGCCATCGACACTGATTCCATGGAATGGGAAACAGAAGTTGTGGAGTTTGAGAGGGAGACGGTGAGCTGCCTTGGGTGCTGGCCTTGTTTGCTCTCCTAGATGTGAGGACTTTGAGGGAGAAGGTGTGGCCCTATTTGCAGAGTCCTCATGTCCTCATTTCATGGCTGCCATTTTGGTGGATTTGCTCATCCCCTCCACCCCCCCCCCCCCAGCGGAAATACATCTTGTTCCTGCAGCTGTCCAAGCTGGGTTGTACCGCGTCTGTGTCTCACGGTGGTGCTGGTGCAGCACATGGAGGCCCCAGTAGAAGGCCATGGGTGATGCTCACGGGGATGTCTACAGTGACTAGACGGGGCAGGAGCAGCCTTTCCTGCATTTGCATCTTGGGGACTGAATGTCTGGCATGGGCTTCAGGATCCTTCTCTTCCCTGCTTGGTAAAGAGCTGCTGCTGGTGTTTTGACAGGAGGATATTGACTTGAAAGCACTTGGATTTGACATGGCAGAGGGTGTGAATGAGCCTTGTTTCCCGGGGGACTGTGGCATATTTGTCACTAAAGTGGACAAAGGAAGCATTGCTGATGGTCGCTTGAGGTAAGAGCTTAGATAGTCCAGGCCCTGGAGGGAAAGCAGGGCTGTCCAAGTCAATGTTGTGGGCCCAAGGAAGCCAGGTAGCAGCAAAATGAACTTGTCGCAGGATCCTAGGACACTGTCTGAGGCCTCAGGCTCAACTGAGATGCTCTTAAAGGAACCTGCCTACGAGCAGGTTGGGTGCTTCTGAATGTGGCTTTTCTCCAGGTACCAGAAGCTGCCTTTTGCTCCTCTAGGTAGCAGAGGGCTTAGGTTCTGTGTGATGAGAGCCTAGGATGTGGAGTTTCATGGTTACTCTATCAAACAGTGAGGATGTAACATGCTGCTCTGTGTGCCAAGTACTGGAGAAGCATTGGATCAGTCAGTCATGAATTTCTACAGTTCTTTGAGGCAGATGCAAGTATTGCCTCACCTGATAGATAAAGGCATTGAGACAGGGTCTAGGCCCCACAGCTAGTAAGTGGCAGAGTCAGGATTTGAAGCCATTATGTCTATAACTCCAGCACCTGCAAGTTTCACAACTGTATGTTCCTGGAGGCAGAGACTTTCCTGAGTGTGCATGTGGGCAACCTGCTCTCTGACATTTGATCCACTAAATGGGAGTGGTAGAAGGGACAGTTCCACGGTCTGAGTGGATGTTGGCCTGGCCTTGTCCCTCCGCAGGGTCAATGACTGGCTGCTGAGAATCAACGACGTGGACCTCATCAACAAGGACAAGAAGCAGGCCATCAAGGCTCTCCTCAATGGAGAGGGGGCCATCAACATGGTGGTGAGGCGGAGGAAGTCCCTCGGTGGAAAGGTGGTCACGCCTCTGCACATCAACCTCAGTGGACAGAAAGGTAGCTGGTTACAGACGGGGCAGGAGTCCTCTGGTGGAGAGGCTTGTTTGCAGATACATTTCCTTCCCAGGGATGTAGGTTGATGTCATCTTAATGTACCCTAAGTGCTCTCCAGGCAGGAGGTCATTGGAGTCCCAGGTGTCTGACTCACCACACAGAGCATGATGAGCCCCAAGGGGTGTCACAGAGTGGGGTGCTGGGCTTGCCAGGACTCAGTCCCTTGTAGAAGTTTAATCAGCAGAACTAGGGAGGGGCAGTAAGGCCAGGTCACTCAGTGTCCTCTTGTGGCTTGCAGACAGTGGCATCAGTTTGGAGAATGGAGTATATGCTGCCGCTGTGGTGCCTGGGAGTCCTGCTGCCAAAGAGGGGTCCCTTGCCGTGGGAGACAGGATTGTTGCGGTAAGTCACAGAGGTCAGAAAACAGCATCGGATTCCTTGGAACTGGAGTTATATATAGATGGTTGTTAGCCCACATGTGGGTGCTGGGATCCGAACCCAGGTCCTCTGTAAGAACAGCCAGTGCTCTTAACTGCAGAGCCACCTCTCCAGTCCTGTATTTTGGACTTTTACTAACTGTCTAAGATTGAAACCCCATGTGCCTTTTCATAGCACACAGGCAAAAGTCTGGTTGTGAAGAGGGCAGATAATGACAATACTTCCCCTGATTCTGGACCCTCCTCCTCTTTATTCCTATCCTGACAGAAACCATGGTTAACAACTTACTGTGTTCTCTTCCAGAAACATTTCAAGGAGGTACCTCCTTGATTTTGTTTTGTTTTGTAGCTCAGATGGTACATTTTCTTTTTGACAGCAAGTCCTAGAGAGATTAATGTCTTTGAATCTGCCTGGGTGGTTCTAGTCACTGTGTGTGGTTCTTTTTTTTTTTTTTTACAGAGGTCAGAAGAGGGCGTCAGATTCCCCTGGAACTAGAGTTAAGGACGGTTCATAGCTGCCATGTGGGTGCTGGGAATCGAACCCGGGTCCTCTGCAAGAGCAGTCAGTGCTCTTAACCGCTGAGCCATCTCTCTAGCCCCATGTGGTTCTTTTTAAGTTAATTAATTAGTTGGTGGTGTTGGGGATGGAACCTAGGATGGCATGTATTCTTGGCAAGCTTTCCATGCTGAACACACCTCAGCCCCCATGTGGTTCCTCGGGGCAGTTGTTCATGCTACTGGCCGGTCCCTCCTAATGGACAGTTGGGCATCTTTGCATTCATAAGCAGTGCCGCACAGCCACCAGTAACACCGTCTCATGGGACCTCCAGAGAGTACCACAGAGTAAATTCCTGGGTGGGATCCCTGGATCAGAGAGTGTAGACATTAAATACCCTATGCACTGTTCCCTTGTGCTCCAGAGGGCTCATGACCCTTGCCAGCCTCACCTGTATCTGATGGGGAGGAGCTTATCACTTCACATCTTTGCCCACGTTCTTCAGAGTTGAGGAGAGCCAGTGCTTAACAACAGCATGGCTTCCATGGAAATGTTTTAAATGGGGACAAGTTACAAGGAAAACACTACATTAATCCCCTTCTCCATGACAATCACACTCTATACTTTCTCTTTTTTTGACTTTTGTTTGTGTGTGTGTGTGTGTATATGTGTATGAGGTGGGTGTATGTTCATTTGGAGACCAGAGGTCAACCCTGAGTGTTGTTCCTTAGGATCCATCCACTTTTTAAAAAATTGTGACATTACATGTATCATTACAAAGTCACAGTGGAACACTGTGATGTCATGCTGGGGCTGTGGTGTCATAAAAATGCAGCCTGGTCTTGACACAGTTGAGAATTGTTAAGTAAAAACAAAGCATTGTGATGTCACAGTGGAGCACTATGAACACATAATAGAGCATTGTAATGTCAAAGTGGAGCTCTCTGATGTCACAGGGAAGCTGTGATGTCATATGCAGCATTATATTATCAAAATGGGGTATTGTTATGTCACAGTGGCGAATTATTATGTCATTCTGGAGCATCATGATGTCATAGTGGACCTGTAACAACACAAGGCACACATTGCAGTGGCCCAGTACAGTGGAAATTATTTAAAAGTAGAGCAGCATAGTGTAGCATTCTGTTAGCCCAGTGGATCACTGTGATGGCTCAGGTGAGCTGAGTTGTCACAATGGCACATTGTAATGTTATCCTAAACTGTGATATCATAATGTAGTGTTGTCTTGGCACAACTGAGCATTTTGATATGACTGGGTTGTATGAGACTTTTTAAAAAATATCTTTTATTCTTTTGCACTTTCTTACATGTATGCAATGTATCTTGATCCTATCTACCTTCAAACTCTCCCTTCCCAACCCCCAGAGAACTCTCAACAGTTGATGAGTGCAGTGGCCATATCATGCCTAGAAGATGGCAGTCCACAGCACTCCTCCCCATCCCTACCTCTTACTTCTTTCTGCCCCCTCTTCTGCGATGTTCCCTGAGTCTTAGGTGTAGATATAGATGTCCCACTTAGGGCTGAGCACTCAGCAGTCCCTTATTCTCAGCACCTTAACTAGTTGGGAGTTGCTTCACTAGCTGCTGCCCACTGCAGAAAGAAACTTCTCTGGCCAACATGGAGAGCAGTACTAATCTATGGTTATAGCTATAAATATCTAGAGGGCGGTTTGACAGCATGTCCATTTAGCAGAACAACACTAATAAATTCCCCTACACACACCCCATGCCCTCTGATGCCATGGACTCCTGACAGGTTTATAACAGCAGGCATGAATTCCCTCCTGTGGAGCAATCCTCAAATTGAATCAGAAAGCACTTGATTACCCCATTACCTTCATGCTACCATTGTATTAAGTGGTCACATTTTGCCTGCCAGGTACTGTAGCATTCAGGGAGTGGATACTTGATGACTTTTCTCCCCAAGCATCCCCCAGGAAAGTACTATGCATAGTACTTCAGCACAATGAAAGCTAGCCATCAAGGAGGAAATTTCCCTGTCAGTTCCATCTTGATTCTCTGTGTCCTGCAGCTGAAGTGTGTTGCATCTTCAGCAGGAGAACCTTACTGTCTAGTTACGGTGTGCAGCCAAGAACAAATGGCAGTAGCCTTTGTTGTTTTGTGGGCCTCTGGGACCTTTCTGACCAATAATTGTAGGAAGTATTTGTAGGAGGCATTTATGCCTGGTACTGAGATTTTCATTTAATAGCCCGTGTCTTCTGAGGGAAGCATTGTCTACCCATACAAGTGCCTGTGTCTACCCATACAGGTACCTGTGTCTACCCATACAAGTACCTGTGTCCACCCATACAAGTACCTGTGTCTACCCATACAAGTGCCTGTGTCTACCCATACAAGTGCCTGTGTCCACCCATACAAGATACCTTTGTCTACCCATACAAGTGCCTGTGTCTAACCATACAAGTGCCTGTGTCCACCAATACAAGATACCTTTGTCTACCCATACAAGTGCCTGTGTCTACCCATACAAGTACCTGTGTCTACCCATACAAGTGCCTGTGTCTACCCATACAGGTACCTGTGTCTACCCATACAGGTACCTGTGTCTACCCATACAAGTACCTGTGTCCACCCATATGAGGTACCTGTGTCCACCCATATGAGGTACCTGTGTCAACCCATACACGTACCTGTGTCTACCCATACAAGTACCTGTGTCTACCCATACAAGTACCTGTGTCTACCCATACGAGGTATCTGTGTCCACTGATATGAGGTACCTCTCTCCACTTACATAAGGTACTTGTGTCTACCCATACAATGACCTGTGTCCACTCATACGAGGAACCTCTGACTTCAAGGGGGCTTGCTTTTTCTTTCACTAACTGCTGACTTTGGCTCATTACATAATCAGGTCCACTGTCCACTAGAATTGGCAGGTGGGCCACGCCTCTAGCATAGCAGCCTGGGAGCAGGCTGAGGCTACCCCATTGGTAAACCTGACCAGCTTTCTGTTTGACCCTAGATCAATGGTATTGCACTGGACAACAAGTCCCTGAATGAATGTGAATCTCTGCTGCGGAGCTGTCAGGACTCCTTGACCCTCTCCCTCCTGAAGGTGAGCACCAGGCACTTGCTGGCATCATTGGGAGGGTGGGCAAAGCCTCAGCTCCACGTTTTCTGAGTGTTGTTCAGGAGCACCAGGATCCAGGTATTGGTTTCCAGAATGCAGGGTATGGGAAGCCAGACTGGATAAAGGTTGAAAACAAGCTGTAGAGAGCTCATTGAGAACAGGTGGGCACATTTAAATCTAGATTGGGCAATTTGTTGGTCCTAGACATTGTTAGCTTTCTTAGGTCTGGTGCTGGCTTTGGGGTTTGTAGGAGAATGGTCTTGTATGTGGTGGTACACTCTGAATTTGTTAGTGGTGAGCAGCGAGATGTTTGCAACTTCCTAGTGCTCTGTAGATGTCAGCATAGATAAAAACCTTGAAGACAATTTGGTATAATTGTGGGAGTCAGTGAGTGGGTTTATGGGCATTCATTATACTTTTCTATCAACTTTTCTACATAGTTGAAAAGGTTAATAATAGAAATTTAGAAAAAAAATTGGATCCATCCACTTCATTAAGAAATGCTTTCTAAATTACTTGTTCTTGAATAAATAGACTTTGGCAGACTGTTAAGACCTAAAGTTTTTCAGAGCACCTGGGCTGGCACAGAGAGTTTTCATGTATCTGTCATGTGAGCCTTCTGGCCTAGGTTCCCCTGATATTGACATGTTGGATTTATGTGCTACATTTGGTACACATGATGAGCCAATATTGCTGCATAGCTTAACAGGGGCTCACCGTTGATGCAATGTATCCCATGGATTTGGACAAATGTACAGTAACACATCTTCACCAGCCCTCATCCCCCTCTGGTGTTGCTGTTTCTCAGACTCCCGACTACAACCAATCCTCATTCTGTCTGCAGACATCTTCCTTTCCCACAGTGCTGCGTACCTGGAACCCCTTTTCACATAGGCTTGCTCACTTGCTTAGGGTCCCTTCTGTATCTTTTTGGTATGATGGCTTACCTCTTAGCCTTGCTTAGTCTCCTTTTGCCTGGGTTACCATGAATAATTAATTTATCTTTATGCTTAATAGTACTTACACTGTGTGCAGGTGGCAGCAGATAAAGTCAGCAGGACTTTATTGCTCATGTGAGTTCAAAGTGGCAAGAACCATGAGAAAACTTCACTGAGAGAGAGAGAGAGAGAGAGAGAGAGAGAGAGAGAGAGAGACTGTGTCTCTGTGTGTCTGTGTCTGTCTCTCTGGGGTGGCTATGGCTCATTCCTGCCCATCACTCTACTGCGGGGATGGTTTTCCATAGCAACTCTAGGCCACAGTATCTCATCTTCTCTTTCTCACCCCCCTGCACTCCCGGCTCAGGTGTTTCCTCAGAGCTCCTCGTGGAGTGGCCAGAACATCTTTGAAAATACCAAGGACTCAGATAAAATGCTGAGTTGTAGAGCCCACGGTCCTGAGGTCCAGGCTCATAACAAACGGAACTTGTTGCAGCACAATAACTCCACACAGACCGATGTCTTCTACATGGATCAGCTGGAAGACAGGAAGGAACTGGGGCACCCTGGAGGCAGCAGCTCTTTTCTGCATAAGCCAATCCCCGGAGGCCCCTTCCAGGCCTCTCCCCAGTCCTGTTCCAGTACTTCTGAGCGTAGCCTGAGCTCTTTCCGCTCAGATGCCTCTGCAGAGCGAGGTTATGGGCTGATGGACATGCCAAGCCAGCGGCCACTGCTGCCCTTTGAGACTGAGGTGGGCCCCTGTGGAGCAGTGGAGGATCCCCTGGACAAGGCGGACCCTGAGGGTTCCAACAGTGGTGGAACTTGGCCTAAGGCTGTGCTTGGCTCCACTGCGGGGCCTGAGAAGCTATCCGTGTACAAGAAACCCAAACAAAGGAAGTCTATCTTTGACCCAAACACTTTTAAGCGCCCCCAGACGCCCCCTAAAATAGACTACCTACTTCCAGGCCCTGGGCCTGCTCACTCTCCCCAGCCCTCCAAGAGGGTAGGGTCTCTGACACCCCCAAAGCCCCCCAGAAGAAGTGACTCCATCAAATTCCAGCACAGGCTAGAGACCAGTTCAGAGTCAGAAGCCACTTTGGTGGGCAGCTCCCCCTCTACCAGCCCTCCAAGTGCTCCACCCCCTGATGTGGACGTTGGGGAACCCATGCATACTTCCCCCCCTCGCAAGGCCAGGGTCCGTATTACCTCCAGCTACCACTCTGAAGGGGACGGAGACTCCTCCTACCTGCCTGCCAAGAAGTCCTGTGATGAAGACCTCACTGCTCAAAAGGTGGACGAGCTCGGGCAGAAACGGCGCCGGCCAAAGTCTGCTCCTAGTTTTCGGCCCAAGATCTCTCCAGTAGTGATTCCTGTTCAGTGCCTGGAGGTAGAGCTCAGCCTGGGGTTGGGGCACCTGATATGGGAACAGCAAAGGAGCCTTGCATAGTATCCCAGGCTTGTAGTTAGCTTGTGCCTTGGCTGTTAGTGTGTGCCTCGGGGAGTGGACAGGGGTGGTATGTGGATGCCAATGTGCAGCAGTCCCCCTAGGGTATGGGAAAGAGACACGGGGCGTGTACCATAGCGAGAAGTGACATCGAGAGAATGCTTATCTGAACATAATATTTGGTTTACTTTTGCAAGATGTTTTTGAGTTAGTAAAAAAAAAAAAAAAAAAAAAAAAAAAAAAAAATTTTGTTTTCTTTTTTAAGATTTTTTTTAGGTTGTAAAAAAAAAAAAAAAAAAAATTTAGTAAGCTGGGTGTGGTGGCACTGGCCGTTAATCCCAGCACTCAGGAGGTAGGTGAATCTCTGTGAGATTGAGATAGCCGGGTCTCCATAACAAGTTCCAGGCCTGCTGCTGGGGCTACAGGGAGACCCTGTCTCAAAAAAGAAAAAAAGCTTCGTGAGATTTGCCCCGGTGGGTTAGGGGACATGAGTGGTGCACAAGAGGTACAAGCTAGCAGCTGGCTGGTGCAGCTGTGTGCCAGAGTGTCTAGCAGGGGAGGTTGCTGTGAGCTGGAACTCCTGGGCATATGTGATGCAGACTGCTCACTGTGTGTCCAGTCCCAGGCACATCTTGCCTACTCTCACAGTCTGTTTATCTGAAAGAAATGATTCTTTTTCTGCACATACCTTCTGAAGGGGGGTACAAGAAGCCCTTTGCTTCTGAGTGTCAAGCAGTGTGAATGGGCAAAATCTCTCCCACTAATCCCTGTCCTTGTCCCTGTCCACCCCCTTTGTTGCTCCCTGTCCTGGCCTGAGGAGAGAAGCTGGTGCAAGGGGCAGAAGTGGCTCACAAACAGTGAATATTCCCTCCTCCCAGCCAACACTCTTGCCTTTGATTCTGCAGGAACAGAAGTGTGTCCCAGCCACTGGAGAGCTCTCCCCAGAGGTCCAGGAATGGTCCCCATACTCACCAGGGCATCCTAGCAGGCATGGCAACCCCCCACTCTACCCCAACAGGCCATCTGTAGGTAAGCTGGTGGGATGGGTTAGGAATAGGTTATTGTGGGTTCATAGGGCTGCCCAGTCTTTGGGAGGAAGGGATATTGTCACATGCTTTCAGTCATGAGGCTTATTGCCCTTTCTGGGATGGTTGGCCCTGTGCCTGTCAGATGAGTTTTCTCCTCATTGGAGTGGGACAGTCCCTTTTTACAGACGGGAAAGGTCAACAGCTAAAGCCACATAGTGAACGAGTGACTAAAACTCTACCTAAACTCTACCTAGAGTCCTTTTCCCAAAGACTATGGCTGCCCCCTAGCATTTGGGGAGAGGGTATGTACCAGGCCAGGGCTATCTTGAGTGCTTTGGAGCTATCCTGACCCAGTCCATTTCTAGGTACTGTTCCCCGGAGCATGACCCCCAGCACCACTGTGAGCTCCATCCTGCGGAACCCCATCTATACTGTACGCAGCCACAGGGTGGTCCCCTGCTCTCCACCTGTGCCCCGAGATGCTGGTCCTCAGGGCTTATCTCCCAGGTATGGCAAGATAAACACTTCCCTGCACACCAGCAGTCCAGCCCCTGAATGGAGAGCTGCTGCGACATCGAGGCCGGTGGGCAGAGTTAGTCCCATAGCTATCTGGGAATGGATTGGGGGAGCATAGCTGGGACCTAGTGAGAGTAGACTTAAAAAGATGCTGTGTGAGCTCACCTGGGTATTCAGGGACATTTCAGGAATGGCAATAGTGATGGTAGATCAGGTCCCAAACACTGTGCTTAGACCTTCTTCCAATCCTCATCTAAACACACGGTGAATGACCTGAGCCCAGTGCTGCTATGTTCCTCTACTCCAAGACAGAGTGCTGAGACCTTCCAGAGGACATGAGCTGTCTGTGCTGAAATTTAAGCATCACAAGAGTTTTTCTGACTATGTAGAGCACCGATGAATATATTAAGGAAGAAACCTGAGCTGGGCATGGTAGCACACACCCTTAATCTCAGCACTGGGAAGGCAGAGGCAGCTGGATTTCTGTAAGTTTGAGGCCAGCCTGGCCTACATAGTGAGCTCCAGGCCAGCCAAGGCTCTGTAGTGAAACTCTGTCTTAGAGGAAAGAAAGAAAAGGAAGGAAGGGAGGAAGGAAAGAAGGGAGGGAGGGAAGGAAGGAAGGAAGGAAGGAAGGAAGGAAGGAAGGAAGGAAGGAAGGACGGGAAGGAAGGATGGAAGGAGGATGGGAAGGAAGGAAGGAGGAAGGAAGGAGGAAAGGAAGGAGGAACGGAAGGAAGGAGGAAGGAAGGAAAGGAGGGAGGGAGAGAGGGAGGAAGGAAGGAGGAACGGAAGGAAGGAGGAAGGGAAGGAAGGAGGAAGGAAGGAAGAAGGAAGGAAGGAAAAGGGTGGGCTCAGGATCACCCTTATTCATTTGACCAATTTATACTGAGCACCTCCCATATTCCAAGGACTGTTCTGGTTCCAAGGGGAGACAGTGGTGAAGCTTCCTACTCACAGTGCTTAGTTTTCAGTGTGGGAGGCAGACAGACAAGAATGCACACAGTGACGGCAAAGGGTGCCCTGTGGTCCTGAGACAGTGGGACAGACTGACAACTGGGCTTTGACTGGGAAGAGGGTGGCTGGAAAATCGAGTGGTTGCATAAGAGTAGCTGCCAATGGACTAGATGGACCATAAACATCAGCCATAGGGATGGAGCTCACTGATATAGTGCTTGCCTCTGCGCAAGGTCCTGGGTCCAATCCCCAACTCTGGAAGGAAAAAGGATTACGCATGCAAAATTTGGGGGATTCTGGGAAGGAGGACTGCAGGTCTGAGGGCTGTACTAGTGCCTGGGAGATTGGGGGCGGGGGTGTTTGGCAAGGGGCAGTGAGTCAGGAGGGGGCACAGGTCCTAAGGGCACAAATCCTGCAGGGCCTGCTGTGGAGACCACTGGAGAGTTTTAAGCAAGGAAGAGATATTATTACACAGCCAAAAACATCTTGCTGCGATCTAACTGCATCTAGCCTGGTGTGGAAGGCCCCTGGACTCTACCCACTAGCTCAGCTTCCTGGGCATGTTGTCTTTAGTGAGGCACAACACTGCTCTCTCCAAGGCCTGCAGTGCCCATTCAGCCCCTCCCTGACCATTTTCCTGGGCCCACCAGAGTTGCAGAGCCTCTGTTTTTCCTGCTGCAATTCCATCCTCTCAATGAGCAAATTCCAGTGCTCTGCTGATACGGTGGTGGTACTGACTGCCTCTTGAGTGGTGCTCCTACTGCTTGCTACCTGTGGGAAGTGGCTGGGTCAGTCTGCTCTCCTAGATGAATGGCGAGTGTGCCTCTTTTTTCTGTCTCAGGGAGGCCCAGGCCCCTCACTGTTTTTCCCCAGTGGTCACGTCTTGGTCCTCCTCCAGGGCCCCTCACTTCTCTGGTTCTCTCACAGTGTCCAACATCAGGGACGCCTCAGCCTGGACCTGAGCCACAGGGCCTGCAGTGACTACTCCGAGATGAGAACCTCCCATGGCTCCAACTCACTGCCCTCCAGTGCCCGCCTCGGTAACTACTATGGATCCCTGCTTCTTAATACCCAGATCACTGGGTGGGCTGTCCTTGTGGCTCATCTCCCTTCCTGGGGCTGAGCTCAGCTCCCTCCCCTGGAGGGCTGATACCTCATGGCCTATCTGTCATCCCTACAGTGTGTTCAGAGCCATTGCCTTCTACCTGCAGCCTTCACAGTGGCTGTGTGATTGTTTGAGATGATCCTTGCATGGATCCTTGCTCCCTGGCCCTGCATTAGTCATTCTGGATGTCCTGTGTGGACACACACTTAGGTAAAATGTAACACAATGTCATGTTGCCTGGTAAGAAGTCTTCAGGGCTTCAGAGAGAAGGAACAGCTGCATAACAGCAGTTAGGATACATGACAAGAAGCAAGGCATGTACTCCTGTTCGGAGTATTCTGGGCCTGCACAGTTCCTTCCAACATGAGGGGCCAAGTGTCTGCCTCTCTGTACTTTTCCATGTATCAGTTCCCTTAGGGATACCCGGGAGGGCCCTGCTTTATGTGTTACCATCCTGGCTGCTGAGTGGTGGTAAGGACTAAGGATTCTTTTAATCAAGAGGCCTGATGCTTTGTCTCCTTCTGGAACAAAAGGGTCTTCCAGTAACCTGCAATTCAAGGCAGAACGCATTAAGATCCCATTAACACCGAGATATCCCCGGTCTGTCATGGGCTCTGACAGAGGTAAGAACTGAGCGCTCCCTCTTGCACTTGGCCTTCCTTGGGTCCCCTTCTAGTCATCTAAGTCAGCTGCTGAAGGTTGGCTGGGCCTAGCCCTCACATGTTGCTATGGGGACAGGAGGCAACATGGAGGCCAGTGTCTGAGCTCCGGTCAGGTGATGAGGCTCACTGAGAGCCCATGTGTTCATGACAGATACAGCCATTGTCCCTTTCTCCCACGGCAGGCTCGTTGTCACATTCCGAATGCAGCACTCCTCCCCGGTCCCCACTGAGCATCGACACCCTGTCCTCTGGTAGCCAGCCTCAAACCTCAGCCTCCACATTGCCCAGGATTGCTGTCAACCCCACATCCCATGGAGAGCGAAGAAAGGACAGGTGAGTGTACATGAGCACCTGCGGCTGGAGCCACCCAGGGGACCTCACATCTGCACCAGGGATGGGGCGTTAAGTGAGGACAGACTTGCTGCAGGAAGCAGCAGGAGCTGGAGACTGTTTGATTGGAGCCTGGCCGCTCTGGTTTGGGTGCCTTGGCACCCACTGTTGTCCTGTATGTATTTCCTATGGCACATTCAGTAAAATAGATGCAGCCAGCCTGGCCCATCAGGCAGGTGGGTCATGTGGAGATGACAGGGACAGAGCAAGATGAGCTCCTTCACTGAGCAGTGACCAACATGATGCTAGAGATGGCCTGGCAGAGGCAGGGATGCCAGGGTGCTGCTTACTACCTCGTAGGCCTATGTTTTAGCACTTTCCATGTGTTGTTATCAAAGTCTCAGTTGCCCTGTGAGTGTTCCTATTAACCCATTTTATACTCAAGTAGACTGTGTCCAGGGAGCCCCAGGGAGCTCTGTGGACATGCCGTTAGCAGCTGGTCGTGCCTAGCCAGAGCCGGGATTCATTCTTGCCTCTTGCTCTTTGTCCCCAGGTATGGTTTCTACATTTCTTTGTTCTTTTGGTTCTGCCCTCCCTCCTGTTTTATAGAGAAATGAAATACACAGAGGAAGGATGTACAAGAAAGCACAGCTTCACCATCTGTTGGTTGTTTTAAATTCAAGCCGGTCTTAGTGTGGGCTTTAGGTTAGAGCAGACTTTGTTGTTTTTATTCACGGCATGCTATACGCACCTCACCCCTCTCTGTTGTTCTCTGTGGAACTTACCACATCTGATTTGTACTTAAAAACAGGTCTTATTTGACTTGAAAATCTGAACATATAAGACCCTTTGACTTATTTGACTTGAAAATCTGAACTTGTAAGAACCCAGCAAGTATTAACTGATAGCTAACGGGAACAGGTATACCCAAACCCCAGGGCCCTGTCCTAGGGCATCAGCTGCAGGCCCTGGGGCAGTGTTGAGGGGTCCTTACTGTGTGACACCTAACCCCTGCTCAGCTCCAGCTCTTGTCTTCTCGCTGAGAGGTCAGGACCTTCTGGAATGAAGTGTGTCCTCAGAAGTAGAGAGGGATTTGTCACACAGGTCAAACGCGCTCTCGGCTCCCTGCTTTGGAAGACAGCCAGGTATGAGGGCTCCCTGCCCTGCCAGGGCTTATATAGTTAGAGATGAATTTAGCCTGTGTGACCTGAGCAATAGCTTCCTAATGAAGGGTAGTCTCTTTTATCCAGAATCTAAGTTCCTCATCCTGTAGTCACAATAGAAAACTGAGGTGATGAGAAATGTAGAAAGAAGAAACAGCCACACGGTTGCTTCACCTAGAGATTCAATGGCTATTCTCCTTTCGACGTACATAGTGTAGATTTTAATGTGTGTTTTAGTGTGTTTTCATATACATAATCATACCTCCTTTACCATCATCCTAAGTGATTTATAAAATTACTAAACTTAAACCCATTTAACGAAGGAGTTTTGTTGTTCTGAGAAAACGTTTGTGCATGGTGTAAAAAATCTAAACCGTTGAGCTGGAAAGACTGCTCTTGCAGGGGATCCAGGCTCAATTCCCAGCACCCATTTGGCAGTTAACAACTATCTGTAACTCCAGTTCCAGGGGAATTTGATGCCCTCTTCTGACCTCCATGGTTATTGTACAACATGGGTGTGCTTACATACATGCAAGAAAAACACTCGTACATTTAAAATAAAAAAAAATAGCTGGGCAGGGTGGCACACGCCTGTAGTCCCAGCACTTGGGAGGCAGACACAGGCGGATCTCTGTGAGTTCAAGGCCAGCCTGGTCTACATAGTGAGTTCTAGGACAACTGGGGCTACAGGGAGACCCTGCTTAAAAAAAAAATAATAATAATAAAGTAAAAAATAAATAAAAAAATACATAAAATTTTATTTTAGTTTTAAAAACATTTAAGCCATTGAGAAGATTAAGAGGCAGAGATCTCCTGCCCTCACTGTGTTCACATTCTCGGTAAGGTTCTCTGTAGAAGCCTATCTATGCATAAATACAGATATAAATATGTATGTGGGTTACTAGAAGCAGAATTACAGAATTATTTCCATTGATTTTGCATTCCACACTGTGTCCTCTGCATCTTTCCATGTCTGGAAATTCATAGGATCATTTATAGCAGCTTCCTGGGTTTTTTTTTAAGATTTATTTTTATTTTTAATTATGTGTATATGTGTCTCTAGAGGCGTGTGCATGTAACTGCAGGTGCCTGTGGAGGTCAGAAGAAGGGGTTGGAGTTCATGGAGCTGGAGTTATAAGGTGGTTGTAAGCTGCCCGACGTGGGTGCTGGGAACCAAACTCTGGTCTTCTGAAAGAACAGTATTCACTTTTAACCACTGAGCCATCTTTCCAGTCCTGGCTTCCTGGTTTTTATATGGTGTTATTGGACTTAGTTACCTACTCTTGTATTACACTAAAAATATGTAAAGGTGGACAGAGGAAAGGGCAGTCACTGAGAAGTAGGAGCTACAGATAGAAACTAGGTGTGGGAGGGTGGCCACCTCCCCACCTGGTCACTGCTGCATCTGAGGCTGGGGTGTGAGGATGGTCTTTAGATGACCTGCTAAGGGTTCTTACAACTGTAAGCTACCTGGTACTCAAAGTATGTTCAGTGGTAGAGTTGACAGTGGGAACAGGCCAGGATGGGGTTGTATGACTGTAGGGTCAAGAGAAGGATTATGGAGCGATGTGTTTGGGAAGTAGGAATACCTTGGGGAGTCGGGTAAAGGCAAGACAATTTAAGAGAAAATTTTATGGGTTGAGTAGATGGCTCAGTGGGTAAAGGTGCTTGCTGTCAGGCTTGAGCACCTGAGTTCGACCCTGGGATCCACATGGTGGAAGGAGAGAACTGACTTCCCCAAGTTGTCTTCTGACTCCACACATGTACCACAGCTTGCATGCACTTATAAAAAATTTAGAAGAATTTTGCCCTCTGCTATTTCAGGACACAGCTGTGGGGACCAGGCTAAGGTCTGCTTTGCTTGTGGGCTATTCTGCCTCTCAGTGGCAGGATTAATAGCTTGAGCCTTTCCATGGTCTGTAGAAGGGACCCAGAGATGGATTTCAGCCTGACTCCCTCCTTTACCTTTGTCTAGTGAAGCTCTTGGGGGAGGGCTCAGTGGAGCTCTGCTGTCTGGGCATTGCAAGAGTCTGATCCTTCTCTGAGCATCCCTTCTCTCCTAACCTTTGTCTATCCAGGTGTCTCTTCCACCACAGATCCCTTCTGAGACTGCCCGTGGCCTCTAGGCCCAGGTCCTCCTCACTGAGGAGTCTGAGGTTGGCCTGACATGAGGCACCCACACCCGCTCATGCCCTCGGACTTGGGGAACAGCTCCCTGGGGCAGCAAGTGCATGGGCACAGCCTTGCTCCATGCATCCCCCCCTTTCCTTCTCATAGCGTGGGTTTATAGCTGCTTCATTTCCATGGTCAGTCTGCATCATAAATCCATACATACAGGAACTGATAATTCATGTCATCTTTTTTGGGACTGTCATTCCAGAGCCATCTCTTTTCTCCATGGGGTGTCTTGAGAACCTCCTCCATGGGGGTATGCATATTGCCTGTCCCAAGACAGTCCCACTTATCAAAATGAAAATTCATGGGTTTCTTTTCCCCAGCATTTATCGTTCACATGCACTGTTCTTTGTCTTTGGGGCTGGGTGTTTTCATGTTCATTTGGATGTGCTGTGTTTCTATTGCATGACATTTTGCAATGCATATCTTTGTCACACAAAAGCCGGTTCATTCTGCCCCATCATTGGACACTTGGGCTCTATGCCTTCTCTGCACAACTGACTGCATGTCCAGTCTCACTCTCTCCAAACTATTCCTTCAGCTCTGAGTCCCTGAAACCTCTGACTCGTTTCCCAGACCTTACCTGGAAGAGCCACGCCACGTGAAGGTGCAGAAGGGCTCAGAGCCTCTGGGCATCTCCATCGTGAGTGGAGAGAAGGGTGGTATCTACGTTTCCAAGGTGACCATAGGAAGCATTGCCCACCAGGCCGGCCTTGAGTATGGAGACCAGTTACTTGAGGTAAGAGGTGGTGGCCCTTCTTTTCTTCTTTCTCTTTCTCCCCTTAAAAAGCAGTATTCCCAAGTCCATGTTCACTGCCTCAGTCACTGACCCATCACTAAGTCCACCCTGGCTGTCTTCCCAGTTCAATGGCATAAACCTGCGGAGTGCCACTGAGCAGCAGGCCCGGCTCATCATTGGGCAGCAGTGTGACACCGTCACCATCCTGGCCCAGTACAACCCACACATGCACCAGCTCAGCAGCCATTCCCGCTCCAGGTGAGCTCCCAGGGGGCGGCTGGGCTGGGGTGGAGCGATGGGTACAGCAGGTGCATTGCTCATCTTGAGGGAACCAGATGCGAGCTGCAAGTTTTTGAGATTCTCTTTCTATTAAGAGAACTTGAACTGCATGGATTTTGAGAAAGAGGTATACAGAGAGAAAGTGTGTCCCCCTGAAATGTGCAAAGGACACCACTGCCCAGTGATGGGCCTGTGGTATCCAAAAGCTAACCCCCCAGAACAGGGTTCATACTCAGTGGCTGTCTGGCTGTGCATGAGCAGACCTTAGCCATCTTCCTATACCTGCCCCTGCAGGTGGGTCCCAGGGTAGATGACAGGAGGTGCTACATGACCTGCAAGGCCACCCCATATGGCTCAGCAGGGAGTAGAAGCCAAGGAAAAGGGAAAGTGGCTTCACGTGTCCTCTTGGCTAGGCACCTTTGGAGAGGGTCCCCAATTGGAAGACAGACAGACTCTGTGGGGCAGGTGACCGAAGTCCAGGCTCCTGATGTGCCTACCCTAATAGGATACAGTGCGAGGCCAGGGTCCCCATTCAAAGTCCAAACCTGTTGCCACTGCAGAGGGAGCGACTCTGGGTGCTGTGTGCATCTCCTTATTCTTTCTGATTTCCACTCCAGCTCCCACCTGGACCCTGCCGGCGCTCACTCCACTGTGCATGGCAGCGGTGCTACCACCCCAGAGCAGCCCTCTGTCATTGACCCGCTGATGGAACAGGATGAAGGCCCGAGCACCCCTCCGGCAAAGCAGAGCATCCCCAGCTCCAGGTCAGCAGAGGCATCCTGTGGGTCTCCCATTCACCCAACTGCTCCAGTGGGACAGAGCCCACCCTGAGGGGCCTGGGCTCTGAGCAGCCAGGCTCACCCTGTGCTGCCTACCACACAGTAGGCTTTCCTTTTCTCCCCTCCTCCCTTCTTCCTTCCCTTTCTCTCTTGTTTTCTCACTTGCCAGCTTGTCGCCCTCCTTCCACTGTCTCTTTTTCTCATTCAGTGTTCTGATTCTGTCTCCAGACATAATCCCAGCTTTACCAGGCAGGCCCTGGGGCTCTGGCCATCAGCAGTAGAGTTAAAACTAGGCCAGGACTCTGGCATGTGTGGTCAGCTGCAGTGCTATGAGGGGCAGCCAGTGTGGAGCTCTGTGGCAGGGGGAGGTGACAGCTAGGTGTGCATATTTAATCTGAGCAGGAAGCTAGGCAGAAGCAGACAGGTGTTCTTATTGGAGCATCTGTCAACCTGCCCTGGGACTGGAAGGACATGAAAACGATCACTGAGGCAGGGTAAGGTGCCATTGCTTCTTAGTCCTGCAGAGTCCCCATCTCCAGAAAGTCCTGTTGCCTTGCAGATCAACACAGCCTTGTCCTGGGATCACTCCCATGGGAACTTAACCGCAGGTGAATTGTCACCATGAACAGGCTTTTCCCCTCAGATTCCCTTCATCAGTCTCCATGGCTCTCTGGCTTCCTCACTAGGATTCTGTCTTCCCCTATGGCTTTTAAATTCTTGGTCGCGAGAACCCCTGCATGAGTTGGCACCGAAACTGCTCAGGAGGTGCCGCTGAGTGAGCTGTCTGTCTCTAAACAGTGAGACCAACATTCCCTTTCCTTAAGCAGAACTAAGTCCAGGGAGGACAGTCAGGCACGAGAGCGACAGCTAGCCTAGAAGCAGGCGTTGCCTTCAGCTCCATCTTTTGCTGGCTTTCTTGTGGTTTGCTGCCTTCCCTTTTCTCTCTCTCCTTACATTCTCCTTGCTGCCCCTCAGCCTCCCACCCTGTACTGAGTCAGCAGAAGAGAGCCCAGCCAACCCCTTAGCCCCCGGGGCTTCCGAGGCCTGCAAAGCAAGCAGGCAGGATGGACATGGGCATGTTGTTCTCTTCATCCATATCTGCCTCTCTCCTCGGGCATGTTGAGAACTTCATTTTCTTTTCCAAAAGGATTGTGGGAGATGCCAACAAGAAGACCCCTGAACCCCGCATTGTCTTCATCAAGAAATCCCAGCTGGAGCTTGGGGTGCACTTGTGTGGTGGGAACCTACATGGGGTATTTGTGGCTGAGGTGGAGGATGACAGTCCTGCAAAGGGTCCCGATGGCCTCATGCCTGGGGACCTCATCCTTGAGGTGAGTTCTGTCACTGTGTGGGGCAGGCCATGTCCTGTGTCTTCAGCTTGTGCCCCCTCATGTGACACAGGAGAAAGAACTCATCTGGCAACCTGTCTGGGCTGGCTATTCATCTTGTAAACTGGGGGTGCTACCAAGCTCCTGAGGGAACCCAAAGGCTCAGCCCTGGCTCTGGCCTTGGGCACCCAGAGGAGGTGTTCATTCTTATGAGCCATAAGCCCCTGAAGTAGCGGGAAAGAGTCAGAGTCTCAGTCTCTCTCTCTCTCTCTCTCTCTCTCTCTCTCTCCCTCTCCCTCTCCCTCTCCCTCCCCCTCAAAGTCACAGAGAATAGCCTGCCTCTGCCTCTGCCTCTGCCCTGCCCCCCTCTCCCCCCCTCCCTCTCTCCCTCCCTCCCTCCCTTCGTCCCTTCCTCTCTCTCCCTCTCTCCCCCCATTCTCTCCCATCCCATGGAGAAGATGGCACATAAATGATAAAGATAAGCTTTTATAGACAGGAAGTATAACCCTTTGCACAGGGTTTTGCCTGGGAGAAACTATCAAGGGCAGAGCAGATGTTTGGTCTGGGGCCGAGTGGCCACCTCTCTCCCTCCCTCCCTCCCTTCGTCCCTTCCTCTCTCTCCCTCTCTCCCCCCATTCTCTCCCATCCCATGGAGAAGATGGCACATAAATGATAAAGATAAGCTTTTATAGACAGGAAGTATAACCCTTTGCACAGGGTTTTGCCTGGGAGAAACTATCAAGGGCAGAGCAGATGTTTGGTCTGGGGCCGAGTGGCCAGGTAGGTATATGGAATGGGCACTGGGAATATGGAGAGGACTGCCATTCCTACAGAGGGGAGGTAGGAGAGTCTCAGACCATGTGCCCTCCTGGGCCCTTCTGGGTACCCAAGCTGTCCCTGGGTGCTGCCTTTCTGACCTGGCACTCTGTCTATAATCAGTACGGTAGCCTGGATGTGCGCAGCAAGACGGTGGAGGAAGTCTATGTGCAGATGCTGAAGCCCAAGGATGGTGTTCGCCTGAAGGTGCAGTACCGCCCAGAGGAGTTCACCAGGGTCAAGGGCCTGCCCGGAGACAGCTTCTACATCAGGTGCCAGCAGAGGGAGTTGGGGTCAGGGGAATGGTCAGGGAGACAGTTCCTGGGGAATGGATCCTCTGGATTCCTTGCCTTCAGGGTTCAGGCCATCATCTGCATCGTTTTTGCCTATAGTGAGAAGCTTTTGACTTAGAAAACACTATGGGCTTAAGGGACTACATGGCCTGACCCCTGAGAGTTCAAGACCATGGGAATTTTAAGGCCTGGAGCCCCTTATTCTGTAGATTGTGTTCCTCCTTTGGCCTCCCCTGAGTGAGACCTGCAAAGTCCCTGAGGTGTGTGTTGGTCTCAGGCATCCATGATGCATATAAGTAAGAGTCATGATATAGGGATGGCATCAGGCATCTTCCTTGAGTGGTTCAGAGCTCCCCCAAGATGTGAGACCACAGACTAGATAAAAACACTCATGAGAAACACAGCCTGTTCTGAAGATGAGAGGTGACATGTTAGTCTGCAGGAAGCAGGGGCCTTGGTTTTAGAGAGGCCGGTAAAATAAATGTCTGTTTGGAAGGGAGAGGTGCAGGATGCCTTTCTCCAGTGGACACGAGCCCTCAGTATTAGGGAAAAAAAGGTGATGTCTTGGTCCCATTCTGAAAAGCATGAAGCGGGGGCTCCTTCTTTCTAGAACAGTCCCAAATTAGGAAACCTGTCCTTGATGGAGACAGCACAGACAGCTACCTCAATAGCCAGACTGCCATGGCAGGTAGCATGGCCTCCTCATCCAATACTTCTGTCCCATGGTCCAGGGCTCTGTACGACCGGCTGGCAGAGGTGGAGCCTGAGCTGACCTTTAAGAAAGACGACATCCTCTATGTGGATGACACATTGCCCCAGGGCATGTTCGGGTGCTGGATGGCTTGGCAGCTGGATGAAAATGCACAGAAGATCCAGCGTGGGCAGATTCCCAGCAAATACGTGTAAGTCTTCTGCATGTTCAGGTGGCAGCCATGGGGATCACCAAGGAGGAGTGGGTGACATGGAGTGAGGCTAGCCTGGGCTGCTGGAGATCTGACTCCTTCACATAGTTCAGCTTCTGGGTTGTACTCATGGCCCACAGTTCAGAAAGCTGCTCCTAGTATGAGCACAGAAGCGTGTGGTGAACCAGGAGGCACAACCAGTGTTCCCAGAGTCCTGGAGCTGTCACTCTCTGTACCAGACAAGTCCTCCCAAGTAAATGGTACAGTGGCCTTTAGTGTATTGACAGGTATGCACAATCACTGTGTAGCTGAGGGTGACCTTGAGCTCCTGATCCTCCTGCCTCCATCTCTTGAATGCTAGAATCACAGACATGTGCCACTACACAGAGTGTATGCTGTGCTGGATATCAAACCAAGGGCTTGTGCATGCTGGCAAGCACTCTACCAACTGGACCACATTCCTGGCCCCTCCACAGTTAATTTTAAAACATGTTTATCACCTTGGAAAGAAACCCCATTAGCTATTACCCTTTGTTACCCTAGGTCTGTCTTCTTTCTCCTGCTACAAAAAAATACTCCAGACTAAGAAAGTACAAGAAAGCAGTTTATTTAGCTCCTAATTCTATAGGCTGAAAGTGCAAGTAAGGTGGCCTCAGTCTGTTTGGTGTCTGGTGAAGACTTGTTGGCGGCTTCACAATATGGTGGGAAACAGAAGGATCCAGCCTTATGCAGAAGGGAAAGATCCTGTGGCAAGACAGGAAGCAAGGGTACTCAGACCAGGCTTGCTCTTTCTGTGAGCACCTACTGTTGCTGGAACTGACAGAGGCTCTGAAAGGATTACATTAAGCCCTTCTGAGGGCAGAGCTCCCAGTGACCTAATCAATCTGCCTAGGCATTGTCTCTTAAAACCTCCTTTGTCTCAGCACCAGCCCCCCGGGGATCAAGCCTCCCACAGCACATGGACCCTTGAGGGTCACAGTCAAACTGTCTGCAAACCACAGCACACCACTCCTCCTTGTCTCCCCAACTCCAACCTGGTCCCCAGCTCCAAGCCACTCATCTGCAGTTGGATAGGCATTTTGTGTGAATCCAGTCACATGGCACATGGTCTTCTGTGTCCGGCTTCTTTTTTGTTTTTGTTTTTGAGTCTCCCTGTAGCCCCAGCTGGCCTGGAACTTGCTATGTAGACCAGATTGGCCTCAATCTCACAGAGATCCTCCTGCCTCTGCCTCCTGAGTGCTAGGATTAAAGAGGTGTGCCACTACACCTGGCTGTGTCCAGCTTCTTGTACTCAGCATGCTGTTTTTTGAGGATCATCCGTACCAGCGTGCCCATTCCTTCCATGGCAGGCAGCAAAACTAGCAATGTCACTGGGCACAGGTCATCCTGAGTCAGGTGTCCCAGTGGGAATTCACCTGCTCTGCTGTTGACCTTGTGCTATGGCTCACTCAGTGCCATGGTGGTGCCTGAGGGTACAAAGTAGCACTGGAGGGGCTGGTGGCTTCCTCCCTCCCCACGACTTCCCCAGCACCATCATTCTCTGTGGTTACAGGATGGACCAAGAGTTCTCGAGGAGGCTCAGCATGTCTGAGGTTAAAGATGACAGCACTGCAAAGACGTTATCAGCGGCTGCTCGTCGGTCCTTCTTTAGAAGGAAACATAAGCACAAGCGCAGTGGGTCCAAAGACGGCAAGGACCTTCTTGCCTTGGACACCTTTGCCAATGACTCCATTCCTCTCTTTGAAGGCAAGTGTCTTGGGCTTGTTCCAGTGGGTTTGCTGGAACTTCACCATGGGGAGTTCAAGATGACAGTCAGGTGGGCACTGAGGTTGGTGGGATGGCAGTACATTCTTAGAGTCTTACAGTTGTAGGGCGTGGCTTTCCTCAAAGTCTGCTCTGGGATGCCTACGTCTCTACACCTTCACCCATCATGACTCTGTTTTGGGAAGGAGAAAGGGCAAAGCAAAAGTGTCAGGGGTTGGGGAACCATGGAGATGACTCTGTGGGTAGGTGCTTGCTGTACAGCATGAAGACCTAAGTCTGGATCTTCACATAAAGGCCAGGTGTGGTCTCTAGTCCCAGCACTAGGGGATGGTTGTGGAGGCAGGCAGGAGAAAGGCAGATTCTGGGGTGCCATCGGCTAGCCAGCCTAGTTGAAATGGCAAGCTCTAAGTTCAGTGAGGGCCCTGGGTCACCGAGCAATTTCTGTTTCACACATTGTCTCTTGCTCATGTGTGGGGTTGGTCGGACCAGGCCATTGGAAGTCTGAGGATGCACATGTGAATGCAGTCTGTAAAACCCTCCTGGTCAATGATTTTTTATTTTTTTATTATTTTTATTTTATGTGTGTGAGTGTATTGCCTACATGTATGTGAGTACACCCGTGTCATGCAGTGCTGCAGAGGTCAGAAGAGGGCTTCAGATTCCCCTGGAACTGGAGTCAACGGTTCGTAGCTGCCATGTGGGTGCTGGGAATCGAACCTGGGTCCTCTGCAAGAGCAGTCAGTGCTCTTAACCACTGAGCCATCTCTCCAGCCCCTATTATTTTTATTTTATGTGTATGAGTGTATTGCCTACATGTGTATAAGTGCACCCATGTCATGCAATGCCCTTGAAGGTCAGAAGAGGGTGTCAGATTCGCCTGGAACTGGAGGTAGGGATGATTTTTAGCCACCATGTGGGTGCTGGAAACTGAACCATCTCTCCAACCCCATCACGCTTGTTTGCATTGGTGATTCTGAGAAGATCCTTTTAGGCAGGATGCTAAGTGAGGCTGGAGCTGAGGATAGGAAATGTCAGACACCCTCCTGGTACATAGCTTTGATAGAAAGAGCATATTAATTTTGAGCAGCAAGAGATCTTTGCTGTTCTTGAGGCTACATGTGTATTTTCTATCCCAAGTGATGGGGTGGGGTCAGCGAGCAAAAGGCGTAGGATGGCTGATTTCCGCCCCGCTTGCCTGCCTCCTCTGTCTTTAAAATGATTTTTTTTTCAAGATTTATTTTGTTTCATATGTATGAGTGCCTGCATGTATTTAAGTGCAATAGCCGCGGAAGCCAGAAGAGGACATCCATCCCCTGGAATGAGTTGTGGACAGTTGTTAGCTGCTATGTGGGTGCTGGGAACTGAACCTGGGTCCTCTGCTAGAGCAGCCAATGCTCTTAACTGCTGAGCTTTTAAAATGAAGATCTTAAAGCACAATGAATGGTCATCCACTGTCACCATCAGGAAGAGTGGATAGACCACAGCCCATGGACAAATTTGGTTTGCTGCCTGTTTCTGCACAATCTATAGACTAAGCATGGGATTTTACACATGTAAAACGTAATGGGTAAAAATAACCATTAGGCTTTTGGTGGTAATGCTAGCTCAGTTTTGCATTTTTACCTTAAAAGCCCCCAAAAAGCCTAAAATATTTACTATCCTGCTGTTTACAGAAAAAGGGAAGTTTTCTCTTGTCACTTCATTTCTTTTTTGTTGTTATTGTTGTTTTATGTCTTTTTGAGACAGGGTCTCTCTGTAGCCCCAGCTGTCCTGGAACTCACTATGTAGACCAGGCTGGCCTTAAACTCACAGAGATCCGCCTGCCTCTGCCTCCCGAGTGCTGGGATTAAAGGCGTGTGCCACCACGCCCAGCTTCATTTCTTGTTTTATCTCACTCTTTTGGGTATTGCTTTCAGATACCCCACTTCCTCTCTGATGCGCTCAGGGAATGCCCTGTGGACGTCTGTCTGTCAGTTCTTCAGGAGTTTTGCACTGCTTATTTTGACGTTATATTGGATTGTTGTTTTCCTGACAAGATGGTGCTTCTGTCACTGCAAAGCATCCTGTCAGTGTCTCTGCTTGGAAAGCTGTGTGTGATGCTGTGATTTTTTCTGGGTTAGTCTCCACACAACTCACCTTTTTCTGAGGGTTAACGCTAAACTTCCTTGTAGCTTATGTTAGCATATCTCGCAAACATGGTGTGTTTTTATTTCATCTACTATGGCAGTTGGAAATTTTCACTGGATATTGAATTTTAGGTTGGTATTTCTAGCTGTCCTTTGGTATGTCAGTGAATTGGATCCAAGTTCCCTGTAGACACCAAAATCTGAAGATGGTGCCGTCACTTCGGCAATGGTAGTTTGCATACAGCCTAAGTGCACCCACCCCAAGCACATATTTTGAGTCGTCCTAGGTTACTTATAACACTTGGTTTGAATATTTTCCATCCCCATTTGGTTGAATCCATGAATTCAGACCTGGGGAGGGTAATCGCTAATGTTCTTATGCCAAAGGTGATGAGGCCGCACTGGTTTGGGGCATGGTCTCTGTTCCCAGCACCAGGCCATGTTGCAATGGTCATGCGCATTTTCCGGCTCAGACAGCTTTTGTTCCTAAGTCTGTAGTGATGCTGAGGAAATTCTTTCAAGCTGCTACTGTGGTCTTCTTGCCTCTCCCGCATCTTAGTTTTCTGACCAGATTGCATTCTGTCTCGTGTCTTCTAAGTGTTTCCCCTGTACGCTTCGGCACTTTCTTTTTCTCTCTCTGCTTCAGCCAGTGAGGATATTTCCCCAGCCTTTCCTCTGCCCATTATCCAACTCTTCTGTGATGTCCAATGTGTTCTTAATTTCTGAAACTGCCATGTCTAGTTCTAGAGTTTCCAATTGATTATTTTTAATAGACCTTAACTCTCTGCCCAAAATTTCCAGATCTTGTTGTCTGCCTTATTAAAGCCTCGTGTGTCTGAGAAGACTGTGTGTTTGGCGGCTGTCCTCTCTGTCTGCTCATCTCCGTCTCTTTCTACTGTCTTTGCTTTACTTGTTCTGCTCCTTAAGCATACCTGGAAATTGTCAGTTGAAATGTCAAAAATTACATATAGGAAATGTCCAGGCTGTGAGGGAAGTTCCTGTCCTCCAGAAAGGGCTGGCCCTTCCCTCAGGAGTCAGCACTGGAGGCAGGTCACTTGGGTCCAAGTGGAGACTGAGCTCACCTTGGACTGGGCTTCAGCTTCTGTGTGGTTCACCCTGGGCTCTAGAGCTGGCAGTTGGTCTCAGCTCCATAGGGCCCCTTCCAGGGCAGTTTTTCTCTTCAGCACACGAAGCCTGTGGAACACTCTCTACCCTGTGGTTTAGTGTTTTTATTACACATTTAGCTTCTTGTTCCTCAAAGCTTTGGAATTTGGCATCTGGCTTCAAGGGAAGCCTCTGATGCTAGACTTAGTTCTTTTCTTTCTCAAGAAAAATGTATTTGTAGCCAGGCATGGTGGCACATGCCTTTAATCCCAGCACTCAGGAGGCAGATATCTGTGAGTTCAAGGCCAGCTGGGGCTACAGGGAGACCCTGTCTCAAAAATACCCCCCAAATCTATTGATTGATCTATCTATCATCTGTCTGTCTGTCTGTCTGTCTGTCTGTCATCTATCTATCATCTATCATCTATCTATCTATCTATCTATCTATCTATCTATCTATCTATCTATCTATCTATCTATCTATCATCTATCTATCTACCTATCTATCATCTATCATCTATCTATCTATCTATCTATCTATCTATCTATCTATCTATCTATCTGTCATCTATCATCTATCTATTCTATCTATCTATCTATCATCTATCATCTATCATCTATCTATCTACCTATCTATCATCTATCTATCTATCTATCTATCTATCTATCTATCTATCTATCTATCTATCTGTCATCTATCATCTATCTATTGTGTGCGAGTGTTTTGCCTGCATGCATATGAGTGTACCACATATGTGCAATGCCCACAGAGGCCAGAAGGGAGCATTGGATTCCCTAGAACTGGAGTTAGAATTGTTGTGAACACTTTATTCTTGATCTCCTTTGTCTCCCGCTTCTTCCTTGGAGGTAGGCTCTCCCGCTGAACCTAGCCTGGCAGCCAACAAGACCCTGTAGTCTTCCTGTTCCCCACCTCCCAAGCCCTTCAGCACTGGAGTTACTGGTTTGCACGACATGCCTTGTTTTTACATGGGTGCTGGAGATTTGAACTCAGACACTCATGCTGGCACAGCAAGTGCTCTTTCCCACTGAGCCATCTCCCCAGCCGCCCAGGCTTAGTGCTTTTACCCCTTCCCTACCTTTGGATTCCTGGCTCCTCAGGTCCTGGCTGCCATGACTGCCCTAACACCATTTTTGTCTCACTTGCTCTGAGAGATTCCTCCAAACTCTGCCTGAGTCCTCAGTCTCTTGGCAGCAGCCCTCTCCCTGGGTCTGCAGTGTGTCTGTGCATGGGATTTTGCAGAGGCCTACAGGGAGCAGCATGAATTCCTGTGATGCAGTCAGAAGCAATCTGAGAGGTGGGGGTGGGGTGGGAGCTACAAGACATTTGCAGTATCTTGTCATTTTTGAACACAGACACACACAGACACACACACACAGACACACACACACTATATATATATATTTTTTTTTTTCTAGGTTTTTTTTTCTCAGCTTATGACAAACAGCCCATAATACTCACAGACACACGAAAGGACACACAGCTCAGATTAATGGCTATGTTTGAGGAGGCTAATGTAGAGGGAATGTCAGAGATGCTGGCAATATCTGTGACTCTGATTTTTTATTATTTAAGAACTTCATACATGCGTACAATGAAATATGATTATATTCACCCCTCATTTCATTTCTCCCCCCATATTCCCCTTTAATCTCCCCAACACATCCCCGCATCCCCTTTCCAACTTCATGTCTTTTCTTTTAAACCCACGATGTCCAATATTAGTGTTGACCATGGGCTGGATTCAGCTGGATTCATCTTGTGCATGTTTTTTTTTTTTTTTTTTTTTTTGGTCTTTTTGAGACAGGGTCTCCCTGTAGCCCCAGCTGTCCTAGATTCACCATGGAGACCAGGCTGGCCTCAGACTCACAGAGATCCGCCTGCCTCTGCCTCCCGAGTGCTGGGATTAAAGGTATGCGCCACCATGCCCGGCCTTGTGCATGTTTTAAAAGGGGATGTGCATAGGAGTTCCAAGGTCATGAATATAGATCATGGTCTAGCGTGTCCCCAGGTCAGGAAGAACCTTGTAGAAACACAGGTTCTTCTGCAAATCCATCTGCAAATGCAGGAGCACATAGGTATGGTGGGTGTGGTGAGGGAAGGCTGTTCACTCTCTTTGTTCCACCTCTGGAGTTGGTCTCTTTGGAGGATGGATGCTTGTGCTTCCTGGCGGCCACATCCCCATCTAGCTAGAGCAGCTCTGCAGAGGTGTGCAGACCCTACAGAACCCTACCCTTCCTCATCCTCCTGCCCCATCACCTGGTGCCTTCTTCTAGCCCGCTTTCTCCTGCCTCCATCTTGGGCCTGCCTTACATCCATGATATCCTCACCCAGCTTCAGCTGGCCTCACCTCACCCCTCATCTATTCTGGTTCCTGTGACGTCAGGCAGCTCTGATCTGGGTGTCTGGTGTTGCTGCCTTGTGGCCCCAGTTATCATGAGCTTACAAAGGGCAGAGATGGGGGCTTTGTACCTTTTTGTGTTTCTGAGACGCTAGCACAGTGCTGCACTCTACCAGGGAGTCTCCAGGAAGGCAGTTGCCTGTTAGAGTTCCCGCAGGAACTTTGTGTATTTGCTAGAGAGGAGGTTTGCCCCGTGTTGACTAGGTTTGATGGCTAGAACTGAGACCAGAGAGCAGCAGTCACCCCACAGGAAGCTCTGTTGTCTGTTGTGGGCAGGACGAGCTGGAGGGTAGTCCAGGGGTAGTGGCCCTGTGTTGGGGACCCAGGTCCCTTCTGTCTTGTGGCTTTGACATCTCCTAAGGACTCTCCCCATCTGCATGGTCAGAGCTGGCTCACGGCACCACCCATTCCAGTCCATGGATGGGAGCCAAAGATGCAGGCATATCACGACTGTCCCTCACCTCTGTCCCTTCCTTCCCAGGTGTGGTCACATGACTACCACTGTAAGAAATACCATGGCTTCTTTACATCTAGTGAACAGGGGGAGAAGTGGGGTGGGTGCAGTGGGCACGGGATACCTAAAGAAGAGCTGGAACAGAGAGACGGGTAAGATGATTGGTCAGCATCAGCTGCCCCAGTGTCCTCAGAGGCAGGGGGACTATTGCAGTCACACGAGTGTCTTTGTTAGTGACCATAATCTGGAATGCCTGAGATGTAGAACTTCCCCTACTAAAACTAGGCAAGCTGGTCACCCTCCCTGGCCCAACTTTATAAGACAAAGAAGGTAGGCCTGTCCAGGCAAGCAAGGTCAGGGGTGGGCCTGGCTAGGTGAGCAAGGTCAGAGACAGAGTTGTCCACCCCTCTTTTCCCCCTCTGTTCAGGATGAGCCTATAACCCTGCCCCCTCTGTCTCTCAGATTCGGTGAGCCTGGCCTATCAGCGGGTCCAGAAAGTCGACTGTACCTCTCTGCGGCCTGTCCTCATCTTAGGGCCTTTACTGGATGTGGTTAAAGAGATGCTGATGAATGAGGCACCTGGCAAGTTCTGCAGATGCCCTCTTGGTAAGGAGTGACCCTGTATCCACTGGTTAGTGTCTGTCCCCGTTCACCCACCTCCCTGGCCACACACGGTGGCTGGCACACAGGGTCCTGCTGATGTAGGCAGACCTGCCTGTGGTGTCCAGTTCTCTCCAGGAGATCAAACAGCAGTAACGGTCCCCAAGCTGCTGGGTAGTGTTCCTCTCTCTGCTTTGGGGTCCTTCCCAGTGCCCTCACTTCTGTGTCTTACCGTACAGAGGTGATGAAGGCCTCCCAGCAGGCCATTGAGCGGGGCGTCAAAGACTGTCTGTTCGTGGACTACAAGCGGAGGAGCGGTCATTTTGATGTGACCACAGTGGCTTCAATAAAGGAGATCACAGAAAAGGTACCTGGGGCTTTAGCGCAAGGACTGGGCTCGCTATCTAGGGACCTCTGCCTTGTCAGGGAATCTGGGGCCTGGACGAGCTCACCGAGTCCTGGCTGTCTGAGGCCACCTGCTCTCAGTCTCACCTTCCTAGATACTGGGAGTCCCTGCCTGCATCACTAGTACGCGTATCCCTAGTGAAGGCACAGGAGTCACCAGCACCTTGTGTATCTGCTACCTCAGCTCTCTGAGGGAGCTGAGCAGAACTTTGAACTCTGAGAAACCCTCCCCTAGACCATTCTGAGATGGATCCCTGAATACATGTGCTGAACACATAAATACAGACAGCAGCCCTCCACGAAATCTCTGCCCCCAGAAAGGGCAAGAGCAACTTTTGATGCTTTTACATCCGAGGGTCCATGCCAGGCAGTGGGGCAGCTGCAAGGTGTGCTAGGGCAACCACTTCTGCTTGATCCTCAGGTTCTGGCTTCTCCAATCGCCTCTTTGGGCTGCAGTTTCCTTTTCTGCCACACAGTGTCAGCTTTTGACGGGAGTATGTATTACTTGCTTGATGGGGACAAGCTTCAGTTAGGAAACACCCCCCTTTCATGGAGAGAGCTACAGACAGGGTGCCTGTGGTCTTTCTTTGGCTCATACCTTTTTTGGAGGCTGGGGGACCCACAGAGTGTATTTCTGTCACAATCATACGAAAGTACATGCTTCCCTCCTCCAATACAGGCTCCAGAGTCCCTGACTCATCCCTTGCCCAGTTGGGCAGAATAAGGTTTGTGAGACCAGGGTGGGGTAGGGCTCCAAGAAAGTCCCCACATTGAGAGGTAGACTTGCTGGCCTGCTCTACTTACCTGCTCCTGCATAGCAGCCATCAGCTATTGGGGTGAGATCTCCCTGCATGAGGTCTCCCTTCCTGAAATCTTGCTTCTGCTGCCTGGAGGTTTTGAGTGTGGAAGAAGGTAGGACTTTGTGGGATGTGGGTGTATCCCTTAGAGGACACATCCTCTCCTCTTGCCTGCCATTCACATTCATTCTTGTTCCCAGAACCGGCACTGTCTCCTGGACATCGCCCCACATGCCATTGAGCGGCTGCACTGTATGCACATCTACCCCATTGTCATCTTCATCCGCTACAAGAGCGCCAAGCACATCAAGTGGGTGTTCAGCCTGGCCAGAGTCCTGGGGTGGGGTGCAAATGAGAGCAGTGATCGTGTGTAGGATCAACAACATTCCCCTTTGACCCCAGACCTGTGTGTAGAGACAATGTTAGCTAAGCACAGCACCCACCCTTCCTGTCTGGGTGTCATCACACAGAATATGGCCAGTTTTGTCTGCCTAGCTCTCCTCTGTCTTCTGTCCCCTTTCCTCTCAGTGTGCTATGCAGAAGGCCAGAAACTGGCCTGGGCTAAGTCCAGCTCTGCTGCACCCTCTGAGGCCCCTCTCCCCTTGGCTTCTCTGTGCTCTTGAGCTCCTGGTACCCGCGCTTAGGGCTGGCTGGTGTATCTACTGGCTTTCTCCATGTGCTGGGGTCCTGGGGTGCCCAGATTCCCAGTATGTCCATAGCCCCCTACATAGCCTAGAGAGCCTAGAGGCTATTGCTTTGTGGGAAAGCACCCTGAGTCCCCTGCCCCAATGTACCCCTGCCTTGATGGAGGCCCCTGACATCTTGTACCAAGGGGAGGCTCTAGGCTCACCATTTCCCTGGCTGTCCCTATAGGGAACAGAGAGACCCTGTCTACCTGAGGGACAAGGTGACACAGAGGCATTCCAAAGAACAGTTTGAGACCGCACAGAAGATTGAGCAGGAGTATAGCAGATATTTCACAGGTAAGAACATGGGCCCACCAAGGAGCAGAGGCTTTCCTCGGGTGACTTCCCTAGGAAGGACAATAGTCTAGTCTTCCTGGACAGGCCAATGTGAACAGCATTGTGCCCTTCGTTACCTGTGAGGTATTCAACCTACAGGCCCAGACCAGTGTCAGAGTTGCTATAGGGTTATGCTAATTGGCTTTTGGGCATGGTCTAGACTCATCCTCCAATATTTACTCAGCAGTGGTGTTTGTCTCAGCACAAGCACCCAGCAGCATAACTGCTGTGACCCCAAGCAGGTCATAATCTAGAGTCCCCAGGTAGGCCAGCAGTGCAGGCCACTATCTGTCCTGAGCAGTCTCTAGGGCCAGTCTTGCATGGGCTTTTACAAAGCAAAGCCAGTATCACCACTTCTGATGGCAGAATAAAGTCAGCCTAGAGAAGCTGGGCTCCAGCCTGCCTGCCTCCACTGGGTACAATCAGCCATCTGTAGGAGTAAGGGGGGTGGTGGGTAATCACATCATGGAAAGGGTTGAGATCTAGTGCTTCCCGGGGAACCGGCTGGTCCTGTGTGTCTCTGTACATGTGCATAGTTTTCATTTCTAGCTCACTACAGACCAATAGACCAATAAAAGGGAAAAAATTTAAATTTAAATTTTATTATATACACACGCACGTGTGCGCACACACACACACACATGGAAGTTTTTTAAAAACTAGAGTCAACAGAAATAAAACTATACTCACTGTTCCATTTCCATAGCAGTTCTAAATTCTGCCACTTTCTGCATGGTACATGGTCCCATGGCGGTGTACTCTGCCCACCTTGCCTTAGAGTAGCCCTGGCCTACCATCTGCTCACCCAGGCACTGATTCTCCTCTTGGCTTATTCTTCTGGGCCTTTGTGGCCTTAGATACCCCACCCCCACCCCCCTCAATTCCCTGCAGAGTTCTGCCAATGGGATTTCCCCAGGCCACTTTCTCACAAGCTGTGCTCTTTCCCTTTCCAGCTCTGTTCCCCTTTCTGGTGCAGGGCTAGGCTGGCCCCACCAGTCATTGTGATGGGCAGTTTCTGTGTGAAACATTCCACAGGGCAGTTTTCTTCTCCTTTGTTCAGTTTCCTGTTGAAGGAGGAGAGTCATGTGGGGAGGGCCAAGGGTGCCAAGGAGCTCACACATAAGCAAACAAGAGGGTGAAGGCTGTGTTCATTTGCCTTAATGGGTGGGGATATCTTACTTGGAGCTGACTAACGTGCATATTTGGGGATCTCTTCTGAAGGGATTGTCCAGGGCGGAGCCCTTTCAAGCATTTGCACTCAGATCTTGGCAACCGTCAATCAAGAGCAAAGCAAAGTCCTGTGGATCCCTGCTAGCCCACCCTAGTAGAAGACTGTGCCAGAGGTGCCTCCGTCACTTGATGGTGGGGACAGCTGGCTGGCTCTTTTCCAGCCCATGAACATAGAGGTCTGCCTGTATGTAGACAAGCTGGGAAGGACCCAGAACCAGGACTCCAGGAGCACCTCCTATGTATAGGAGGGCCACACAGATTTGGGCCCAGGCTGGTGGACTGCTCCTCCCACATGTATGCTTTAAAATAAAAAGCAAAAACATGAAAGACTTGACCCTCCCTCCTGTAGCCAGCCGATCAGCGATGCTGCACCCAGAACCTTGCACATCACACGTTTACAAGCCTTTTCTAAGTATTTGGTTGTTTATGTTTACTTGAATGGCTCCATGTTATCGGTGCCCAGCCCTGATCCTGTCCCCTCTGTCACTCCCTGTCGGTTTGATGTTCTTGTCTTTGGGAGAACGATCCTGGAAACTTGTTGGGGGGCTGCTTTGCTATTGGAGGTTCCTGTCAGTGGGACCAGAGCGTTGACAGACTTCCTGCTCCTTGTGGCCCCTCTCCTGGAAGGACATCACAACCACAGGTGCTCAGACTCCCGCCACAGCCTGTGCCTTGGTGGGGCCAACTCACCATGCAGTGCTTTCCTCCAGTACCAGGGCTGGGCTCCTGCAGATTCAGCTCTTGGCCTCTCTCTTGCCTCCCTGGCCTCATTTCTTTTGCAGCTGCATTTATATTTAAGTACCACGTCTGATCTGTCAGAGCTTTATGGTTTTGGGGGATATGGGTCCTCAGAAGGGTGTGAAATAGGGGCATGCCATTGGCTCCCACAGGTTCCCAGAGCCCCTTGTCAGTCAATGCTGCAGGTTATCCTTACACTATAGAAAACCACCTCTTTTTGGTATTAAACTATTTGTGTTGCAGCTTTGAAATAAGTGCTATAGGGGAAATATAATGGTTCGTCGTCTCTACTGAAAATCTAAGAAGAAAGCCTGGGAGATTTTTTTAGCCTGGTTACAGCACTCACATTAGCCTGACTGTGTGAGGGCGTCTCCATTCTTTGTTTTGTTTTTTCCTAATCTTTTCTTGAATATTTGTTTTTCCTCTTCCTCTCTCTGTCTCTCTCCGTCTCTTGTCTCTCTCTGTCTCTCCTGTACTTCTGACACCAGACATATCTGGCTAAAGAGTTGATGTGGTTCCTCCTTGAATTGTGTGTCCTGTTAATAGGTACTGTACTGGGTTCCGTGTGTCACTGGGGTAGGACCTATGTTTTAATACTGTTCTTAACATTTCATTTTACTAGCAAAAAATCTTTGATTTCATTTATTCTTTGTAATTCTAGACACTAGATTGTAGTTTAGCCATTATTGACATTTTTTAAAAAAAGGGATATATTTTCTTGCACAGCTGTCTAAAGAGACAAGTTTCAGCCCTCAATGCTGTTTTTTGTCTTACAGGTACAAGTTTTCTAGCTCAGACAACTGAGAAAAACTGTAGACCATTCTGGAGGTCTTGCTGGCACTGCAGGGGGGTGGGGAGGTGCTGTTTCCTAGGTCATAGGCCTGGTTGGGCTGTGCCAGACAGCGGGACAGGCAGGTACGGACTGACAGATGGGATATTCTGTACTAAAATGTTACTTTGTATCAAAAGTGAAACAGACTTTAGTACAACAAATAAAGGTCAATTTCTGTAACTTGTCGTGTGTGCAGATATCTGAGTGGTCCCGGTCCAGCCTCTTCTCACTCCTTACCTTTTCTTCCTCCAGAAGGGGCACCTGTGCGGCCCTGCAGCACGCGACTTCCCTGGCTGCTACACAGGGTTCTTTGCTGCTCTCATAATAATCAGGAGTCTGTTCCCTGAAGCATCCCTGAAGCCCTGACACCTCTATCTGACTTGTGTCTTCTCCTCCTGTATTAGTCACTGTTCTGTTGCTATGATAGAAACACTGATCAAAGCAATTTATAGAAGGAAGAGTTTTTGAGCTTATGGTTCCAGGGGAACTACAGTCCGTCATGGCAGGGAGGCCTGGTGGCTGGAGGTGGCTGGAGCAGGAGCAGCAGAAGCTAAGTTCTCACATCATCACACAGGCACAGGAAGCAAGGGAGCAACTGGAGATCTGGCAAGGCTTAAGAACTCTCTAAGCCCACCCCCAGTGATGTGTTTCCTCCAGGACAGCCACACCTTCTGAAAACCTCCCAAAACAGTGCCATCATCTGGGGACAAAATATCCAAACACTTGGAGCCCAAGGTAGGAACTCGGGGCAGGAACCTGGAGGCAGGAGCTGGAACACAGGCCATGGAGGAATACTGCTTACAGGCTTGCTCCCCTGGCCCCTGCTCAGCTTGCTCTCTTATGCAACACAGGGCCACCTGCCCAGGGGTGGCACTACTCACAGTGGGCTGGGCTGTCCCACATCACTTCATTCAAACCACTACATTCCATCCCCTGGCCCCCATAGGCTCATGATCATATAAAATGCAAAATGCATTTAGTCCAACTTTAAAAGTCCCCATAGTCATTATCAGTCTCAATACTATTCAAAAGTCCATACTCCAAAGGCAAATAACTGTAAGCTTCTATAAAATCAAAAGACAAATTACATACTCCCAACACACAGTGGAACCGAATACACATTACCATTCCAAAAGGGAGGAATGGAGGCACGGTAAGGAAATACTGGACCAAAACAAGACCTAAAACCAGCAGGGCCAACACCAAATCCAGTAGCTCCATGTCCAACTTCTAGGACTTTACTTCCAAAGGGCTTAGATGGCTCAGCCTCTCTAGCTTTGCTGCAGGCAACACACATCTCTCTCTTGTGCTGGTACCACTCCCTGTGTGCAGCTCTTGGCAGATGCCTCACAGCTCTGGCATCACGAACTTCTTGGGGTCTCCATTGCCAACCAGGCTTCACCTTCACAGCTTCAGGCAATGGCCTATCAGGGCCTTCTCTAGGCAGGGGAATCCCTGCTTCACACTGCCTGGCCTCCGAGGCTCTCTGAAACCTCAGAGGAAGAACTGATGACCTCTTCACTCGTCCATCTTTCATGCCTCTAAAGCCAGCACCGGGTGAACAGCACTGCCAAGTTTGACTGCAAGTTTGGGGTAGACTCCAGGCTGCTTTATCCATTTTAGAAGCTTTTCTCTTCAGTGGCTCCTGCAGCATTCTCCTTTCACAAGTTGGAGGCTTAACTGGGTGGGCTTAACTGGGCGTGGTCTTGCCCTGGAGGCACTCTCTCCATTGTTTAAGATTGAATCTAGGCCCCTCCTTAATCACTTCAATCTCCTTATCAATGGGATCCTCTCCATCACATGCCAGGGCTCCAACATTTATCTTCCTAAGGCTCTTTTTCTTTTTTCTTTTTTGGTTTCTTTGAGACAGGGTCTCCCTGTAGCCCCAGCTGTCCTGGAACTCACTATGTAGACCAGGCTGGCCTTGAACTCACAGAGATCCTGCCTGCCTCTGCCTCCCGAGTGCGGGGATTAAAGGCGTGTGCCACCACGCCCAGCCTCTAGTGCTCTTTTTCAATCCAAACTGTATTTCTTTCTGCCCCATTTGCTCCATTTCACTGTAGATCTGCATAATATTGACTGTTAATATCCACATCACCATTTCTACATTAGGCTGTCTCGAAATTTCTTCCGCCAAAGAAATTAGTCCATTACTTTTCAATTTAAGCCTCAGGCAAGCTTTTAGGTTGTCTTAGTTCTTCATTGCTGTGACAAAATACTCTGACCACTGCCAACTTGGGGAGGAAAGGGTTTATTCAGCTTACAACTCCCAGGCTGAAATTCATCAGGGAGCCCAAGGTAGGAACTCAGGGCAGGAACCTGGAGGCAGGAGCTGGAACACAGGCCATGGAGGAACACTGCTTACTGGCTTGCTCCCCTGGCCCCTGCTCAGCTTGCTCTCTTATGCAACACAGGGCCACCTGCCCAGGGGTGGCACTACTCACAGTGGGCTGGGCCCTCCCACATCACTCAACAATCAAGAAAATACCCAACAGACATGGCCATAGGCCAGTCCAATGGAGGCAATTCCCCAATTGAGGCTCCCTCAACCCAGGTGTGTCAAGTTGACACTAAATCTATCCAGCACATAGGTCTAGGGCATACTCCAGGCGGACTCTTTGCCAAAATATCCCAAGTGCTGTGAAAGTCCTTATTTCCCTCTGGAACAACATTGTTCTCAGCACTGCTTTCTTCCCAAAAAAAGCACTGCTTTTCTAGCCCAAACTTCCAGTCTTCCACATTGTTCCAAAACCCCACTTGGTCAGATTCTACACAGCCAACACTCCACTCTCGGTACCAATTACTGTATTAGTCACTTTTCTGTTGCTGCAATAGAAACACTGACCCAAGCAATTTATAGAAGGAAGAGTTTATTTGAGCTTATAGTTCCAGGGGAATTATAGTCCATCATGGCGGGGAGGCATGGTAGCTGGAAGTGGCTGGAGCAGGAGCAGCAGAAGTGAAGCTCTCACATCATCACAAGGCACAGGAAGCAAGAGACCAACTGGAGATCTGGCAAGGCTTAAGAACTCTCTAAGCCCACCCCCAGTGATGTGTTTCCTCCAGGACAGCCACATCTTCTAAAACCTCCCAAAACAGTGCTATCATCTGGACAAAATATCCAAACACTTGGAGCCTATGAGGGACATTTTCATTTAAACCACTACACCTCCCATCTGTTAGCTGCCCAGCATTGCATGGGCTGATGGTTGCAACTGAGCAGCCCTCAGATCCTCACAGGCAGGTGTGTACTGGGCTGTTTCTAAGAAGAGGAATCAGCCAAGTTTTCAGAGGAACCCCTGAGTGCCCATAGTTGTTATCCTATTGGAGGCCTCAGGTGGAAAGGGCCCATCCTGTCCTGGTACCATTTCGTAAGACCTTGGAGGATCACATTGTAACAACACTCAGACTACAGGGCCCCTGAGTGGCCTGCTTGACTTTTTTATTGTGTGTGTGTGTGTGTGTGTGTGTGTGTGTGTGTGCATGCTCGTAGGCAGGTGCACACTTGCCCTTGGGCACGTGTAAAAGCCAGGGGTCAGCATCAAGAATCTTCCTCTCTGTCATTTTCCACCTTTCTAAAGGTTCCACAACTTTACCAAATAGTACCACTAGCTGGGGACCAAGTATTCAAACACATGATCCTGTGGGGGACATTTCACATTCAAACCACTGCACCTTCTAGGGTCCCTTCCTGTGCCATCATTTATGATTCTGTGATATAGGTGAGGAAGAGTTCTGGAAAGAGCCAAGCTTGACTTCATTCCTGGCCTTACAGGAAATGTCACCATGAGGCTATATGGTGCGCACGCGCTGGGCACACTGGCGTGGTGTGCGCGGGCACGCCTGGGAGTCGCAGCGTGGGTCCGGTCCCCTGGTCTCAGCCACGCGCCCTGGAAGAAGGTGGGTCTGGCCCCGCGGGCTTCTCCGTGTCTCTGTGGGTCTCTGCTGCTGGAGCATTGTCCAGCCGTGTACCGCCTTAATTTCCCCCCGTGCGCTCTCCTCTTGATGCGAGATCCACTGGCCACTGGATCATGCGGGAGAGCGCAAGGCGGCTGAAGCTGGGATCTGTGAGCCAGTGACGGAGGAATGCTGCCCCCTGGAGAGGCTGGATCGCCAGTAAGACGCGGGACTCTGCTTAGTCCATGTCACAGCTTTTATTAAATGTAGCTTCAAGTGATCCAGCTCTCTATTATTGAGAGAAGACTGGGATATTTATACCATGGGGGTAGTGGTAAAAGCTTTGGCTGATAGGTACTTTGTGAGACATTCTATTTGCATATGGAAGTGGGTTTCTGCCATGCTGCCAGACCACTGACTACCTGAAAAATCACACAGGAAAGCATGGTATTCCTAGAGCCAGAGGCCATGTTTATGTTATGGCATTTGTGGCGGGCACTTCAAAAGGAGAGTCAGGAAAAATGCCAGGAAGGCACCCCGCCATGAAAGGAGTCTCAGCACATAACTCCGAGCTCGTGAGCTATCTGGATATGAAGAGACTTCTACTTCACATAACAGAGGCCCCCAACAAGGCTACAGGAGACCCAAGGCCTGGGAGCAGAAATCAAGCAGGTCTGAAGCCTGGGCCTTTCCTCCCAGCTAAGAGCAAGTCTTACAGTTGACGGCAAGGCAGGAGACTTTGGGACGTTTTCTCTGAGAGGTCGAGTAACAACACCTTTTTGGATTAATGGAACTGGGAGGTTGCCTGGGTCATAGGTGTTAAGGATAAAAGAAACAAGGAAATCCACTGAGGGGCACAGAGAATGGTCACTGGAAGAATGGTCTTCCCAGGGAGGGCCCTTCTCCACTGCACCCTGCCATTGTCTGTTGGGAGTCTTCTCCTCTCATAGTCCTTTTAAAAAATCTATCTATCTATCTATCTATCTATCTATCTATCTATCTATCTATCTATCTATCATCTATCTATCTATCTATCATCATCATTCATCTATGTATACACATAAATCTAAATCTCTATCCAACCATCCATCCATGCACACACACATATATAAATTTAAATCTAGATTCCACATAGGAGAGAAAATATTTTTCTGAGTCTGGCTTATTTCTCTTACTATAATAATCTCTAGCTACATCTATTTTCTTGCAAATGTCATAATTTCATTCTTTTTTTTTATAACCAAATAAAAGTCCATTGTGTGTATGGACCACATTTTCTTTAT